TAGATAAAGAGGCATACAGCATTATTTTTGGTGTGAAAAAGTTCTTCAATTACCTATATGCTAGAAATTTTATTTTATACACTGATCATAAACCTTTAATTCAGATTTTTGCACCAGATAAAAGTCTACCAGTTTTAAGTGCTACAAGAATGCAGCATTATGCAATTTTCTTACAAGGTCTAAAGTATGATATTCGATACAAAAATACAGATTCTCATTTTAATGCAGATGCTCTTTCACGTTTACCTATTAAAAATGAACAAAATTATACTCATGATGAACCAGACATATTCGAACTTAATCAGATTGAAAATTTACCTACAGATGTTAACAGTTTATCTTTTCATACCAAAAATGATGCTACTTTACAAAAGTTACTATTAGGTTTACAAACTGGTGAGGTTGTTGAAAAACAATTTAGATTTAACGTAGATCAATCAGAGTTTTCACTACAGTCTGGAGTCATAATGAGAGGACAACGAGTTTTAATACCTATGAAATTAAGAAATAAAATTCTGCATGAATTACACACTGCGCATTTTGGTATGGTGAGAATGAAGTCTTTAGCCCGGAGTTACTGCTGGTGGCCTTTCATAGACAAGGATATTGAATCTTTATGTAAAAATTGTTTTCATTGCAACAAGCACAAAAACAATCCTGTTAAGGACAATTCCCACATCTGGGAAACACCTAAATTTTGCTTTGAAAGAGTACATGCTGACTATGCTGGACCTTTTAACGGAGGCTATTACTTCATTTTAGTTGATTCTTTTAGTAAGTGGCCTGAAATACATTTCACGAAAGACACTACTACAAAAACTACAATCGAAATTTGTAGAAAAATCTTCACTACTTTCGGAATACCCACAGTATTTGTTACTGATAATGGTAGACAATTTGATTCTCATGAATTTAGAGAATTTATGAAGAATAATGGTATCACACATAAATTTACTGCACCCTATCACCCAGCCACGAATGGCCAGGGGGAGAGATATGTCCAAACACTAAAAAATTGTCTGCGAGCCATGCACAGTGAAGAGAAAGACAGAGAACTTGAATTGTGCAAGTTACTAATGCAGTATCGTAGAACACCTCACACAGTAACTGGCAAAAGCCCGTCTGAACGTATGCTAGGAAGGCAGATTAGAAATAGATTAGATTTACTTAAACCTTTTACTCATGACAAAAATGCTTACACAGACCAGAGTCTTAGAAATGTTGCTATAGATACCAGAGTCTCAGTGCGAGATTACTTTAATGCCAAATGGCAATTTGGCAAGGTTATACTAAGGTTAGGATTATTACATTATTTAGTTGAGTTAGATGATGGTAGGACGTGGAGACGTCATATTGACCAAATTAGAGTAATTGGGCAGGATACACCTATAGAATATAACCCAACTTGTTTCATTCCTGCTACAGTTACACATAGTATAGTTCCAAGGGAGGTATCTGTCCCTGAACCCAATTCCGTTTCACCACCTACAAATGTACAAGAACTTCTAAATGATACAATAGAGCCAACAGTACCTGAGGCTCACACTGAAGCTGAACCAGTGTTAAGACGTTCAAGTAGAGTATGTAAACCTGTTCAGAGGATGAATTTGTAAGTACACCTTTATTTCAATCTGTATTTATGAATTTTGGTCAAGAGAGGAGGTGTTATATACTTGGCAACACAGGTAGGCAACACCGCTCACTGACACAACGGAATGAAGTTAGTTAGTTATTAGGCAATAAAGGTTAATGATGTAAAACCACGTTTTATTATTAATTATTACCTTATTTAAGTAAGAAATACCAAATACACAACAACGGGAACAAAAAGAAATCATAAATATTTAATTTTAATTAAAAAAATAATTATTGTTATTAACATTTAAATGAGCACGCCGCTGTTCTGGTAAACATACCTTCAACCTTGAGCGTAGATCTTTTGGACACTCGATTATATAGCGAGAATAGGGGACTGCTTAGTCTATATATTATACGTCATTGCTCTTAGCTTCTCCATAGATTCGAACTCGATGAGTCAACTCTATTTTTATAGGTGTCAAAATTCGACAATCATGAGCCGAATCACATACAATTTCTGATAAAAGAACTTGCATAGTGTCGTACAGAGCACAAATGTACGTACAAGAAACGATACAAGAAAACATAAATAACTTTCTATATAAGAAATGATACAAGAAAATGCATAATGTCATACGGCATTTAGACCATGGCTTCAGCACAGAATAATAAACAAACAGAATACCCACTCTCCACGGAAAATTAAGTACGCGCATCTCCTCCGCGCAGACGTTCCGCCATGTTTTAGGAGGATTTTAAAGAAATTAGTGTTGTTTATGTGGTGTGCATGGAAAAATTAACCAGGTTTATTTTACTTACGGCAATCATAGACATACTATACAATTATATTAACATTGTTAAATATAGTAACATAAATATAATATAATGAAACATAAATATAAACAATTACATAACCACACAAATCATATGTCTGTGTCCTCCTAAAACATGGCGCGCGTGCTGAAAAACTTCAAAGGCGGCATCTGAGAGTGGCTCTTCTGATTGTTTATTATTCTGTGGCTTCAGCTAGAGGCCATGGAATTCATTGTACCATGAGTTTAAATGGTGTCAGGTCAGAGTTGTCACATCATTTTTGCCAGTTTTTGCATACTCTCACATAATATAGAAATGCATTGACATTATATTATAAAAATTCATAGTTTTTAATTAAATTAAATATAAAAATGGTGATAAACTAAACTTAAATTTATTTTAAAACTCAAACTTAATTTATCAAAGCTGAATTGACACAAATAATTTACAATGTTATACTGTAGTTAAATTAAAATATTAATGAATGCTGTTTTATATGTATTCTGAACTTGTAGCTTCTCATAACACAAATTATATTTTCTTTAAAGTAACTTTATATATTTTTAAACATTCATATACATATTTCACAAAAAATATATATGGCAACACTGTGACGCGCTGCCTTGAGGAAAATATATTTGGTTTAGTGATGAGCGGAATCGAATGATTTTAAGAATCGGAATATTGCGGTTCGGAACATTTTAATAATCGGAATATTATTCCGATTCACGATTCTTTCCGCTTCGTTTACCTCTCGAAATATTTTACGAGTTTGCAACTTGCCTTGTTAACAAAGGTCAATGCTCGTAAGGGGATTTACAGAAAAACAAAACTTGATGATTTTAAGAATATGGGTATTTATTTAGTATTTATATTGATTTAGTAAAAGATATATTTTCACACAGAGATACAACCGTTTATTCAGATTTATTTGTTATAAACGTGTAGATATTATTATTTATTATTAGTTCATTAATTCAGGCAACTTCGTTATTTGCAATATATGCAAAAAACGAATAAAATACTTTGTAAGTACTACAAATTTAACTCAACATTTAACCCGGAAGCATTATGTATAATATCAAGTTGAAAAAGGCGAAAGTTTAGTTCCCAAAAACAGTAATCAAACCATCCAACATTTACAAAATATAGACCAGCTAGTACTTTCAAGCAGTTGCAATAGTGATGCAAGAACAGTGGAAAAATCAACAATTTCAAGTTCTTACCAGCCAGTACCTTCAACCAGTAGCAGTAGCAACAGTGACGCAGTGACAATGAAAAAATCAACAATTTCAGGTTCTTACAGTTCTCCACCGAAAAAACGGCGCCATTTAAGACTTTTTGGAGCCCCGTCTAACTTATCAGACATATTAAAAAAAAAATGAAATTCATCGGCCCTAATCGAAATAATTGCTACGGACTTTTAACCCATTGCGACAGTAGAAAACAGCGGATTTTTAGAATACACAGAAAAATTGAATTCTCTATACACACCACCATCCAGAAAAATTTTAACTGATCGTTTATTATCTCAGCTAAATTGCACCGACTATGTATCAGTAACGGTGGATATGTGGACTGCCGATACCAATACTTCATACGTGACTGTAAGTTGTCATTTTATTTTTAACAAAAAAATTTAAAATGCGGTATTAGCAACCAGAGAAATAAAAGATGAACATTATACAGGTGAAAATATCGCGGATGTATTAATTAAATTTTTTAATGAATCAGGCATTAAAAAAAAAGTAACGGTAACCGTTATCTCGAATAACGGCGCTAATATTAAAAAAGCCATAAATGATTATTTACGTATGTACCATCACCCTTGTGTCGCACACACTCTCAATTTAACTGGTAAAGATGCCTTAAATTCTGACAACGAAGAAGTGAAATAGCTAATCTTAAAATGTAGAAATTTAGTTGCAAATTTTAAACACAGTTTAGTGGCATCAACTGAATTTAAAAAGAATCAAGAATTATTAGGAAAGCCAATTCTTAAGGTTAAGCAGGATGTAAGCACTAGGTGGAATTCTACTTTAATTATGTTAGCTAGACTTCAAGAAATAAAGGATTCCTTTATTTCTTCCAAAACTTGGGATTCTAAGAAGTGGGCACTTATCTCAGATTGCGTTAATTTATTAAAACCACTGGAAATGATGACTGCTGAAGTATCTAGAGAAAAATATCGGACAATGTCAATAATCATTGTTTTAATACGTGGTTTACACTTCGCCACAAAATCGGTATCCCCCATAACTGTATCAGGACTGCTCCTACAAAAAACTCTGATGGATACAAAACTGGGTAGTTTTGAAACTAATCAAATTACCTCTAAAGCAACATTACTTGATCCTCGGTTCAAAAAATTTGCTTTAGAAAGAAGATCCTTTAGAATTCTGGGATAAACACAAATTTACATTCCCAGAATTGTCCAAACTTCATCTAAAATATCTTGGATATCGTACCACATCAGTACCGTCAGAACGAGTTTTTTCCAAAGCTGGGACTTCCAATTACCCTAGGATATTACCCAATAAAGAAAGAAGAAGTAGAAGAAGATATATTGGGTTATGTTGAGTCACCGGTTGGGCGTTGTCACCAATAAAATGGAAGTAAAACAAGAAATTGGCGAGGAAACCTTTAAAGTTGAAATTGAATGGAATCAACTGGATGATGGTCTTTGGGATGATTTAAAAAAATGTGAAATTAAGGAAGAATCTAGTAGGCAAAATACACATGACACATGTGACTATTTAGACTCCAAGAAATGTCCTGTAATTATTAAAATCGAACATGAAAATAAAATTGGAGAAAACCAAAAAACTGAAAAAGGTTAGTAACAATGTATTAAATTTGTCCCCCTTATTAATTTAGACCTATAAATCGGATTAACTTTTTTAACCAGCTAATATAATTTTGATCTTAAATAGGCGTTATTTTTTTTACATATTTAGTATGTTTCTTCTGCAAATCGGGGAAACATGAGGCAACAAATGTCCAGAATATGAATGGCAATGTAATATAAAAAAAAACACATGGTCTACCAGAACTTAAACCATTGCAATCTCCTACATTCTAAAACATACCTACCAAACTCTTCTTCAGATAAAAATGAACAAACATATCATTTTTTCCTAACAGAATTTCCTTGACTCCAAAACAAAACACAACAATCAGACAATAATATATGCAGGTTCATGAAAGATCCTCAATCTCCAATAATAGTAGCTTAGGGAAATCAAAAAGAACATTCTAAAGCTTAGCCACAGTTACTACACCTACACCTCCTCACAACACAAAAAAAAACAAGTTTTGACAAAATATCTCACAACAAATTGCTAATAGCACTGAATGTAAGACAGGAACAATCAAATTATAGACCTCAGTAGTTATGAAACATTCTTAAAAACTCTTGCAGTAATACAGACAAAGATAATTTAAATACATTAAACATACAAACCACACAATCCTTAAAACAGACCATAGTTGATGAATGTTATAAACTCTTTTTAAATACACCAATTGAAGATCAATGCATATTTTGAGTTGTCCAAATTAACAACGGATCTGGATGAACTAGAATTGTATTGAATAATTAAAATTTACAATTTTTTTTATTTTTATAAACATTTGCATTAATAGTTTTATTAAACAATAATAATTAACAACTTTATATAATAACAATTGTTTAAAGATACAATTTTTTAAACTCAACCTGAACATATAGGTAAGGACTAATCCAAGATCAATTAAACAAAACTCCAATTCTCTGCATTGATAACCAACTTACAAAATGGTCAACAAAAACCTAAAAATCTTGCAATGGAACATCTGAAGTGTAAACTCAACTACAGTAACCTAATATAACTCATAAGAGAGGAGGATCAGGATATTATTTTACTAAATGGAACATTCTTGAAACCCACACACAAATGCATCATCAAACCATATAATATAATCAGAAATGATGTGATGGAAGGTACAAGCATTGCTACTGTCATTAAAAAAAAGATTAAATATGAAATAATACACTATGAGAAAAAATTTAAAACAAATAAAATTATACTAATAATAATCAAAATACAAAACTGTAATATTTTTAATATTTATTCACAGCCCACTAATAAATTAACTCAAAAAGAATTATCATCATTGACTCCTTACAAGGATTCACTATAATAATGGGAGACTTCGTCGATGAGAAAAATGTTTATACATAATGATGGAACCCCAACAAGGTCATCCGTCTAGGACAAAGGCACAGTGCCATAGATCTGACTCTACTCAAGGAACAACATCTACAAATTTAAGTCCTAGCTGATATACACAACTGGCTGAATACACACAATTTCCATAAACAAAAGAGAGGCTATATGGTTTGCAAAAACTAAGAGCATAGGTATATACCTAGATAGTAGTATCAAACATCAGACTATCCCATACAAAGAACAAATAAAATATTTGGGTGTAATTCTCACAGAAAATTTAAATTCGAAACCACATATTGGCAACATTAAAGTAAAGCCAGTAAAGGAATCAGTGTAATGAGGTCCTTCTGTAGAGTTTGGTGGGGTGGAGAACCTACAACATTGCTTATAGCCTATTATGGACTGGTAAGATCTCATCTTGACTTTGGTAGTATATTTTTAAAGCAAGCAAACCCTACAAAAATTAGACACTATACAATATCAAGCACTAAGGCTAATTCTAGGATGCATGAAGTCAACCCCCACTACAGTCCTGTTAGCAGAAACAGGGGAGGTGACCCTAGAATTTAGAAGGAGGTGGCTAGCAACTAAATTCATGTCAAAAATTTATAGCTACCAAAAGCATCCACTTTTGGAGTTAAAACATCAAGTAAACCAGGCATGTAATCACAAATTTGGTTATTGGAGACAGAAAGAGCGTCCATACTTAGTAGAAGTATTAGGTTATCTAAAACCATATAAAAAAAATTGTTCACAAAACAGATATGATAGCTGACATCATACAAAATTATGATACCTTATATGTTCAGATCCCCTAATTCAATTAAACATCAATAAAACAGGTATCAATCATAATATAATATTTAAAATAGTAACTGAGAAATTGTCTAGAAAATTTATTTTTGCTTACACTGATGCATCAAAATGCAAAATTGATCAGGAAACACAAACTGGATATGGAGTGTATATCCCTAACATAGATTTTTCATTTTCATCCAAGCTGCCTTCAATTATGAATATATGTACAGCAGAAATAGTAGCCATTAATAAGGTGTGGTAACTGTGTACCTAAATAGGGGCATCAAGATTGTATTATCTTTAGTAATTCTAAAAGCGCTATACAAAAATTAAATTGCATACACATTAATTCAAAAAGTGATTATATTGCACTACAAATAAAAAAAAGTATTTTTTTGAGGCCAACTCTACTGGTAAAGACTAGACTGTGCTGGATTCCAGGTCATTAAGGAATAGAGGGAAATGCACATGTGGATAATTTGGCAAACATTGGAAGGTGTCTTAAGATACCTCCGGAGATAAAAGTAAACTACACATAACTCTGGCCAGCTCTAAAAATAAATATAAAAAATGAACACAACACTCATTGGAAATCTAAAATTCAAATTAAAGGAAAATGGTATTCAGAAATACAATTAACATGCCCAGAAAAAATTCAATCTGAGAAGGGAACTTACAAAATAAGGAGTACCAAAAAGTTCAAATGCTCAAAATATGCTACAAAACTTTACTTTTGAACAACTAAAGGCAGCAATTAACCACTTAAACATAAAAAACTGAATTTCTGATAAATTTATCCCCACATCTTTTAAACATCCTCCAATTCCCTCATGGGTACTTGTTAAACCAAGGCAACAAACATTTCAGTTTATGAAAAGCTCTGCCCTTGCCCCGAAGCGAGAGAAGTCTAAATTTCCTGTGTTGTGCTATTTGTTTCAAACTAATACCAACTAATACCTCTCACCACCAGTGAAATAAATTTAGTACATGTATATATTCTTTATTTATGCGGGCCGAGTGCTCATTCTGTACACAATTAGCTAACCTTATTTAAAGACTAAGTAAAGTTGTTATTTCTCTATGGTAAAGTAGAAAAAGAAAAAATACATAAATAAACTATATCAATGACGTATACGTCATTGTAAACAATAACAAAACTTTGACACTTTAGTTTTTTTAGTGTTGCAGCCATGTTGCAGCCAATGACGTATAATATAGTTGCAGCCACGATTCGTAGACTTACTACGGTTGCCTACTCCGACTAACCAATGAACATTAAGCCCGAAATTACGTGACGAGAGTACAGTAATTTGAATCGTAACATTGTTAATCGGCGTTTTCATGTGTTTGAAGTATAGAAAATAGTAAAGATAGTTATGAAATAAAGATGTTTAGTGGATTTTAATACCTAATTATGGAAAACTGTTGATATGTAGGTAGTTTGATACTTAAAATTAATCAGAATAAAGTTCTAGATTTACGTAAATCTAGGATTTCAATCTCCATTTTACACAGAAAATTTATCGCATATACTGAATTATCAATACTGGGTTAACTTTTGAATGAATAAACGGCCCTTAGAGGTCAGCTAGGATTATCTTAGGTACAATTCCTTGTAAGAATTTAAATAATTAATAAAGAATATAAATAAATTCCAATGTAAGAATTTAAATAATATGTAATAAATTTTAATTGGTAAAAAACGAAACTAGTTTATTCCAATAGAAATAAATATACACTACATAATAAATTTTTTCAGTTTTTTAATATTTTTCTAATAAGTCTTAAATGATAGCTGTTTGTCTAGAGCAGTGATTCATAACCGGGGGGCGATTGTAGTATTCATAACTAATGAAACCTGTCTAAGGGGGCGATCATGGGAAAAAGGTTGGGAACCACTGGTCTAGAGGAAGACGACCTGCAATACTACCAAATGCACTGGCAGATGCACAAGGACACGAGCCAACAAATAAAGAAAGAAAGAAGTAGAAGATACAACTTTGTACTATATTAAATATATCAGGGTACGAATATCGCAACATTTTTTAAAATAGGAGGGCTGTGTTGGTGGGATATGTGGAAAGAATGGAGGATGGCAAAATACCGAACAAAATAAGCAAACAAGTACCAGAAGGAAAAAGAACAAGAGGAAGACCGAAGCTGAGATAGGTACATAGAAAATGATACAACCTTAAAAATAAAAAAAAATGGAAAAGAAGCACGAAACAGATCAGAATGGACAAGAATCCTCGAACAGGCCAAGAAACAAAAATGAATGTCGAGCCAGTGATGATTATGATCCCATAGTATTGAATATATTTTATCTTTTATGATACTTTGTAGAGACTGGTTTGTTCTTCTTGGCCATTGTTAAACAAGTACATTATTTCATATTTTAAGGAGAATGCTGGTACAGTCCACAAATCCTGAAGTAGGCCATTCTCCTAATTCTGGTTAAAAGAGGTGACTCAATAGAAGTTTCACGGTCAGTGTAGTACCTCAGTTTGAACTACTATCTTTACACACAATATTGAATATATTGAGGTACTATGCATTAAAAGATAATAGGGCTGACTATTACACATATAGAAGACAGAAACACAGGTTGCTAAAACATATTTATATCATTTATTACTTCTGCTGGCTTAAATCCTATTATGCTTTAATTTGATTATTTAATTCATTTTTCCTGATTCTCAAATAGTTATATTATTATTTGGTTTGTTTTAGGTTATCTACAAGACGAACCCAAAATGGAAATTATGGAGACCCCAATTAAAGATTCATCTTACAAAGAAAATGATATGAATAGACACTTTGAAGAAAAAACACTAAATGAAAATATGAAAGTTGTGACTGGACAAAGTCCTTACAAATGCGAAATTTGTTTTAAACAGTTTTCTAACAAATATTATTTGAAAACACATTTGACAGTGCACACTGGAGAAAAATCTTACAAGTGTGAAATTTGTTTTAAGCAGTTTTCTCGGGCAGGTTCTTTGAAAACACATTTGAGAGTGCACACTGAAGAAAAATGTTATCAGTGCGAATATTGTTTTAAGCTATTTAGTACATCAAGTACTTTAAATAGACATTTGAGAGTACACACTGGAGAAAAACCTTACGAGTGTGAAATTTGTTTAAAGCAATTTAATCAAGGAAGTAGTTTGAAAAGACATTTGAGAGTGCATACTGGAGAAAAACTTTACAAGTGTGAAATTTGTTTCAAGCAGTTTTCTCAGGCAGGTTCTTTGAAAACACATTTGAGAGTGCACACTGAAGAAAAATGTTATCAGTGCGAATATTGTTTTAAGCATTTTAGTACATCAAGTAATTTGAATAGACATTTGAGGGTGCACACTGGAGAAAAACCTTACGAGTGTGAAATTTGTTTGAAGCAATTTAACCAAGGAAGTAGTTTGAAGACACATTTGAGAGTGCACACTGGGGAAAAAGGTTATCAGTGCGAATATTGTTTTAAGCAATTTAGCGAATCAAGTAATTTGAATAGACATTTGAGAGTGCACACTGGAAAAAAACCTTACAAGTGTGAAATTTGTTTTAAGCAGTTTTCTCAGGCATGTCATTTGAAAACACATTTCAGGCGAATACACACTGGAAAAAAATATATAAATCAAAATTAACTTTCAGTCTAAGAAGCACAGTCAGGTGGGAGAATATTTTGTAATATCATTATATTTAAAATAAAAATAATAAATACATTAATAAACATATATCTATATACCTTTTACTTTTATTTTTATGATTGTCGTTTTGGGAATTAAAACACTTATTCTTTGTTCCTAGTTTTATTTAATAATACCTAAATACTATTGAGAACTTATACGTATTTTAATTATACAACCAAAGAATATAGACTCGTATAGTAGTGTTATCAAGTGCCTTAGTCTGTCGACCAATAGCACGCTCTTGATGCGCATCCACAAGGAATCTAAGTTCTTGTAGTTGGCTGTATACCATAATATCAAAAAACATTGTATTAAAGATCCTTTATAAAAGGTATATCATTTAAAAACCTAATCGGGCTATAACACAAAACGTTTTCGGATTCCATATACCATCAGCAGTGTCTAGGTATACATGTATGTAGCCACTAAATATGTCGGTAAAAACCCGTTAAAATTGTTTGTTTAATTTTAGTTTACATTATGTGTTATTAATTATTATGATGTTAAAGTTACCAGAGAAAACTATATGACAGCAACTTTGCTTTCATCAAGTCCTCGTAGACACACCTGTCTCAGGACTAGCAACTTCATGTGGAGTCATACGTCGTCATGTTACCAAATCCACTGGTAACTTTAACATCATAATAATTAATAACACATAATGTAAACTAAATTTAAACAAACAATTTTAACGGGTTTTTACCCACATATTTAGTGGCTACATACATGTATACCTAGACACTGATGATGGAATATGGATTCCGAAAACGTTTTGTAAAATAGCCAGATTGTGTTTTTAAATTATATACCTTTTATAAAGGATTTTTAATAAAAAAATTTTGTGTATAAATAATTGCACGATTTTCAAGTCGGGATCAGTCGTAAAAGTAACTTTATATATTTTAAACATTCATATACATATTTCACAAAACAATATATATGACAATACTGTGACGCGCTGCCTTGAGGAAAATATATTTGGTTTAGTGATCAGCGGAATCGAATGATTTTAAGAATCGGAATATTGCGGTTCGGAACATTTTAATAATCGGAATATTATTTCGATTCACGATTCTTTCCGCTCCGTTTATCTCTCGAAATAGTTTACGAGTTTGCAACTTGCCTTGTTAACAAAGGTCAATGCTCGTAAGGGAATTTACAGAAAAACAAAACTTGATGATTTTAAGAATACAGGTATTTAGTATTTATATTGATTTAGTAAAAGATATATTTTCACACAGAGATACAAACGTTTGTTCAGATTTATTTGTTATAAAAGTGTAGATACTATTATATATTATTAGTTCATTAATTCAGGCAACTTTGTTATTTGCAATATATGCAAAAAACGAATAAAATACTTTGTAAGTACTACAAATTTAACTCAACATTTAACCCGGAAGCATTATGTACAATATCAAACTGAAAAAGGCGAAATATTAGTTACCAAAAACAGTAATCAAACCATCCAACATTTACAAAATATAGACCAGCCAGTACCCTCAACCAGTAGCAGTAGCAATAGTGATGCAAGAACAAATCTGATAATTCATGAAGAAAAGGATGATGCTTCCTTTGGCATTCTTCTTTGTTACATTTTACAGGATACTTATAGGGCACTTACTTACTTTGTTTCTTTAAGCAAAGCCTACATAAATTTAAAGCTTTAATAGTATCCCATCTTTGAGATAATGAATATATTTGAAATTCTGAACAACCCGCAATCTTTTTACAATCTCTCTGATTACACAGTTTTCAATTATGTGTTTCACTGGAAGTATTTGGTTCATGTATATTAGCATGCACATGATTATTAAATTGCCTTTTTTTATTACTTTGGTGATTCTAAAGGGCTAGTCTAGGTAGAGCAGAACAAACATTTGTTGCTAGATTGTACAACCAATCAGCAAGTTCAGTTAATCTCTGAAAATTTTAAAAAGCACTGCGATATATCGTCGAACTAACTTTAATTTGTGAAGGTAGTTTTTCTAATAGTTCATGCATAAGGGTATGGTTAATAAGGTAGTCTTTTAAATTGGATGCTTACAATAAAACACATAAATTTTTAACGGCTAAGGCAAATTCTACCAGAGTTTCAAGTTTTTCTGGTTTAGGAGGCGGTAATCTACGAATAGAATTTATATGAGCTTCAATAATTTGCTCAGATCTTCCAAAAAGAATTTTTAATGTAGTTATAATTTGGGACACACATTGAGGTAAAATTAAAAAACTTGAAACACCGACTCTTGCTGGACCTCATAAACATTTTTGTAATCTTAATAAATTCTCATGATTATCTACTTGACATAGCTGAGTAGATCTTTCAAAATTACTAATAAAAACAGGGCAGTCATGTGGATTGCCATTAAAAATAGGAAGGTCTCCAGGATCGCTCCTTTTATACAATATACCTGAACTTTTATCGTTATACGTTGGCAGAGGATTACCAAGTGTTGGAGTTAAAGGAGCAACATTGTCGATAAAGGGCTTATATCTATATTTAAAGAAAGGAATTTAATGACCAAAGGGTTAGTTTTAATTATTTCCTCTTCATCGATGTCCTGACTATCATTCGAGCACTTATCTTCTTATATAATTCTCCTAGACTCCTTGCTTACCTTTCTTTCTTGACATAATAGATCTCGTTCTTGACGTAATAGTAAAAAAAGTAGAGTAGTCAAAAAATTAGCAATAAACCTGCATTGGGAAGAAGCATTTTAAATGAAAACAAATACAAAAAATTCTAAGGCACAAGAGTGTAGTAACAGACATAAGATGTAGCCAATAAAAGAGAAATGAATAATCAAACTGGAGAATGTGAAAATTACATACCTATACTAATCCGTTGCAAAGAGAATTCAGGTCAGTTAAGGCCGTTTTCATATTTTTTATGTGTACATATTTTAGAACTTTTTTATGTGTATATTCTTTATGATATGTTAAATATATTTTACCATTTACCATTTTTTTATACTTGCGCTCTGCTAATATTTTCATTCCATTTTGGTATCCATATCAGCATTTTAGTTTAGCTCTTCGTTTTACGATTTTTTTATTTCCGTTTGTTTTTTATTCAAATATTTAAAAACAGTGGCCTACTGCCTATTGAAAGTATTCACATCTAGTAGGCGAAAAGTGGCAACATTGCGGTCACATGATCAATGAAATTATTCTGTGTTCTCTCTGTCAGTTCAGAGTATATACATATACATGTACTCTGTGTCAGTTCAGTAAATAAAGAGTGAGGTTATTTTTGTTTTTTCCTTATAAATTTGTTTTTAATTCAAAATAATTTTTGAAATCATGTGCTGAAATAATTTAAATTTACTATTCGAAATATGATCATTGTAGAATGGAAAGTGAGCACCAAGAGAAATCTTCTTTTTGGAAGAAGAATGTAAAATCAGTAGCTGGAAGGTAATAATTAAACCTATTACAGATACTTAAAAGCAACATTAGTTTCGTAAATGTTTTCTTTATATTATCTCGAATTTTCAGTGGTATCTATATTTCCAAGTACTATAATATTGTAACCGTTTTCTTGACTTTTAAATTCATCCACCTAATTTTCCCAGAATCTAAGCCTATTAGTTTTTCTTCTTCATGTAGAAATCTTTTCTGTTGTCATATTTATCTATATATTTTTTGCTGTTGAAGCATGCCCATACTATTTCAGCAATTTATTTTTTATGGGTTCTACTATTTCTGATATCATAATTGTTTTTTTTATATATCTTTGTTTGGAATTTTATTCTTTATTGGCATCACACAGCTTACTCCATACAGTAGACAGTAGTAGATCCTAAAAGAATACCATACCAGCTAAATATCTTTTTCTTTTTATAATAATATAACTATTTTGCAGTGATTTGTATCTTCCCAGTCACTGTCTTATTTTCTTTGCTTAGACTCATCTACTTCATCTGTTCATGAACATCTTAACTTGCTTCTCTTAATATCATAACATAATGTGTATTCAGTCATTTATACTGTATTATTTATGTTTTTAGTTGAAACTTAATTGTATTCAGTCAATTCAAGGATAGTTCTCCCCTCACTGGAAATTATCATTCTTTAACAAAATATTTTGTGTTTCTAATTAGAAGCACATATTTTCCTTGAATCTAGTGACATTACTTCTACTCATCCAAACTATAAAATGCTCTTTTGCATTTAACATAAAATATTGAGTCTATCTAAATATTGAGCCTTAAGTTTGTAGAGTTTTTAGTAATTATATACTCTGGCTAATGCTTTCCACATTGGATATTTAAGAATGTAGTCCCTTTTCAGATTATAAAACTACTGAGAATATTACATTGCTTTCAGTCAAAAATAAAGATCTTTTTCTATCTTATTTTTTTTTAATATTTCGATACATTTTTGGCAAAGTAACGTAAGTGACATTTTTGGCGCAAATCATGTTTTTCAATTAAACTAACACTATTATTGTTAAAAAGGTACTGCCAAAGTGTAGTAAGCCTAGAATTACTTTAAACCTTTTTTAGGACAAGTAGGACAAGTTTTTTCAGTCATAATTTAAATAAGTTTAACCAGGTTGAATTAAAAAATTGTTTTTTCTAAAAATCGTGTTTGGTTACTTACTTTATTTTGCCAAAAATGTATCAATTTGATAGGATGAATAGCGTTGATATAATGGTATGAATTTCATTCTTATATACTCATGAATGTTTAAAATTTTATATTGTAGTAAAAACATAATTTACTGATCTATTTTAGACCAAGTCCAAAGCGGGATGTAAAGGACATTAAGAAAACTCCAGGTTCAACCTCATTTCAAGACTTTCAAGCATCAGTTAGTGATGCTTGGGATTTAGATGATGATGAGTTTTGCATTATATCAGGATTAGAAAGTAAGATAATTTAAAGTAATATTAAAACTCTTATAAATTTGGAATACTTTTAGATACAAAAATATCAAAGAAAGTAGCACACTCTGCAGCTTTAAATGTACTGAATAGTCATAGAAGTACGACTGAATCTGAGGCATCCACTGAAAAGAAACATAGTAAGCGGATGAATATTTCTGAAACCGAATCAATTAAAATTAGTCGAATACCTGGTCGACCAAAACCAATTCGTAGATTGCCTTGTGAACAAGAAGGTGTTGAAAATAAATTAGAAAGATTTCAAAATATCCTAGGTAAATATAATTTCGTTTTTTTTAGTATAGGTATTGCTATAACGGGTATATTTATCATACTTTTTATATTACTTAATATTTTTAGTTACCTTCATCATCATCAGTAGCTCAGCAACCCTTTCTGGGTCCTGGCTTGTTCTAGGATATTCAGATCATTCTGTTTGGTTCCTTGCCTTGTTTTTCCAGTTGATAATCTTAAGTGTTTTCAGATCTTGTTCCACTTTTTCCATGTATATAAGTTTGGGTCTTCCCTTTGACTGTCTCCTTATTGGTGTTTGCCTCATTATATGTTTTGGGGTTTCAGTCTCCAATATCCGTTCAACATGGCTCATCCAGCTCAGATGTCCGATCTTTATGGATGTTATGATCTCGGGTTCATTGTATGCTGTGTATAGTTCAAAGTTATATCTTCTGCGCCATATGTCATTTTCCTTTACCCCCATAAATATGTGTCTAAAGATTTTTCGTTCAAATGTACCTAATAGGTTCTTATCACTTTTCGACAGTGTCTATGTCTCTGATCCATATACAAGGACTGGTTTTATCAGGGTCTTGTATATTTTGTATTTGGTTATTATTTCGTTAATGTTTAGGCCACCGTTTTGTGTCGCTTTTTCTATCGCATTAAATGCTACTCTCATCTCTCTTTCGCTTCTAACTATGATATTAACATCATCTGCAAATGCCAATATTTGTACACTTTTTGTTATTATTGTTCCTTCTTCCTCTGGTGTTGACTTTTGACTCCTTAATTATTTTCTCTAATGTGATCTTGAATAGAATACAGGATAGGGCATCTCTGTCGTAGGCCCGTTCTCACATGGATTGTATCGTGTTTTTTTTACTATATCAATGAGTTCAGTTTGAATATTAAACTCTTTCGGTGCATGGATCAGAAATTCTCGATGGATACTATCATAGGCACTCTCAAAGTCAATGAAAAGATGATCTGTGTCTATATTAAATTCACTAGCCTTTTCCAAGATTTGCCTCAAGACAAAGATCTGATCTATTGTGGAGTTCTGCCTACGAAAAGCACATTGATATCCCCCAACTATTTGTTCCACATATGGTCTGAATCAGTCATACACAATATTTAACCATATTTTATATGCCACAGTCAGTAGCTTTATTTCCCTGTAGTTTTTACATTGAAGCTGATCTCCCTTTTTATGTAGTGGTATAATTAATCTGGTATTAAAGTCTTGTGGCAGTTGTTTATTATTCCTTATGTTCACTATTAGTTCCTATATCGCATTCAATAGGGAGTCTTCACCTTCCTTTATTAATTCTGAATATTGTCTAATCCAGGTGAGTTGTTGTTTTTCAGCCTGTTAACTGCTTCTTGCATTTCAGCTACTGAGAATTCTAAGAATTCTGTCCATCTTTGTAGTATTTCACTCTGTTGAGTTACTATATATCCTTCTTTGTCTCTACACATCATTATTCTTGGTTTAAATTATTTTCTGCTATTGTTAAGTTTTTGGTAGAATTTTCTGGTTTCTGATGGTTTATTTAGTTCTTCCATTTCTTTTTCTATGTGTTATCTTTTCTTTCTGCGATGTATTTTCTACTCTTCCCTCCTTAGCATTCTATATTCCTCCACTGCCTTTCGTGTTCTATGTCGTTGTTGTAGTCATTGATATTCATAATTTTTCCTCTTTGTTATGTTACGACACTCTTCATCGAACCACTGTCCTTCACTTGATTTGAGCTTTTTTGTAGACCCAGGGTCTCTTTGGCCGCGTCCTGTATGTTTTTACACGCTTCCCATTCTCTGTTTATATCCTCGTGCTTTTGTCTGTTTTCTAGCCTTCCTTTTATATATTCTTTGTATTTTGCCTTTGCTATTGTCTGCTAAGTTTTTTATTTCATATTTTTCAATTATGGATCCCTTTTCTTTTTTAATGTTTGAGATTCTGGCTCTTATGACCAGACTGAAAACAACAAGTCACCTGGATTAGACAACATTAGCACAGAATTAATAAAGAAAGGTGGAGACTCCCTATTGAATGCGATATACAAACTGATAGTGAACATATGGAACAAATAGTTGGGTTTGGGGGATATCAATGTGGTTTTCGCGGGCAGAACTCCACAATAGATCAGATCTTCGTCTTGAGGCAAATCTTGGAAAAGACTAGTGAATTTAATATAGACACACATCATCTTTTCATTGACTTTGAGAGTGCCTATGATAGCAACCATCGAGAATTTCTGATCCATGCACCGAAAGAGTTTAATATTCAAACTACTTCTACATAAGCTAGAACATTTCGGAGTTCGTGGTACTTTGCTTCGTTGGATAGATGATTTCCTGACAGATCGATATTACAAAGTTCTCACAGGACAGGTTAGTGGAAAGTGGAGTGCCTCAGGGTTATGTCCTTGGACCTCTGCTTTTTACGGTTTACACCAGCGATGTTCCTTATTATGTCTCAAGTAAAATATCGTTCTACGCTGACGACACAAAAATATATGCCAATCCAATCACAAACCAGCTAACCCTCCAAATGGACTTAAACTCTATTTTAACTTGGTGTTCCCAGTGGTTACTACCCTTAAACGCGGAAAAATGTGTAGTGCTTCGAATTGGTACAAATAACCCACTTTTGCCGTACTTTGTTAACGGGCAGCCATTAGAATCTGTTTTTCGAGAGTTTCAATGCAATCATTGTGTAAACTTTACACTGTGTACGTAAGACCCATACTTGAATACACTGGACCAACGTGGTATCCTGATCTGGTTCGAGATAAGACTTTGTTGAAAAACGTTCAAAGAAAAGCCACTCGAATTTCTTTGAGACCGAGAAGACCTTCTTATGCAGAAAGACTTAGTATGGCTAACCTAACTTCTTTTGAACTTCGCATTTTCTTCACTGTCTGTGTACCTCTTACGACAAAACCAGGGCTACGAAAAAGATTATTTTCATCTTCACAGTTTAGAGAAATCATGATTATCAATACTGGCTTTTTCTTATTTGTTTCACCGCCAATACCGCGATAAAATTATAATAAAACTATGTATACAGTATTTAGAGTTTCTCTGCTTAATTCACCGTGGTGAATATTTCAGTGAAAAATATTTTTTCAACAGCAGCAATGTTGCCAAGCCCATTAGAATAATATTAAAGATAGAAAATATCCAGTAACTAGTAATAGTTTATTTTTGTCTGTTTTAGAAACTTCAACAACTTTGCAAGAATTGTGTCAGCTCAGTTGGTCTGGTATACCAGGAAAAGTTAGGGGTATCACATGGAGACTGCTTTCCGGGTATCTTCCAATGAATCTAGAAAGAAGAAATGAAGTATTAGAACGAAAGAGACACGATTATTGGTCTCTAGTAGAAAAATATTATTATACGGAACATGATGAAACAAATCGTGATATTCAACACCAAATTAATATCGATGTGCCAAGAATGAACCCTTCAATACCATTATTTCAACAAAAGACAGTTCAAATAATGTTTGAAAGGATATTATTTATTTGGTCAATACGTCATCCAGCCTCTGGATATGTTCAGGGTATAAATGATTTAGTTACGCCGTTTTATATAGTGTTCTTACAAGAATATCTAAAAGAAGATCAACCGTTTGAGAAGTGTTTCGTTGATGAATTGACTGAGGAACAACGCAGGGTTGTGGAAGCAGATTCATTCTGGTGTTTATCCAAATTTCTGGATAGTATACAAGATAATTACGTTTTTGCACAAATAGGTATTCAAAAAAAGGTGCTTCAACTTGAAGAATTAATAAAACGAGTTGATGAAACGTTACATAAACATTTAAAAGAACACAACGTGAGCTATCTTCAGTTTTCCTTTAGATGGTTAAATAATTTATTGACTAGGGAATTGCCATTGCGCTGCACTATTCGGTTGTGGGATACATACCTAGCTGAAAATGATTGTTTCGCGACGTTTCAGTTATATGTCTGTGCTGCCTTCCTCCTTTACTGGAAAGATGACTTGATGCAACAACATGACTTCCAGGGACTACTTCTGTTGTTGCAGAACTTACCCACTCAGTCCTGGACTAGTTCTCAAATAAGTTTAATGGTTGCAGAGGCCTACAAACTGAAAGTTATGTTTGCAGATGCTCCCAACCACCTTTTAAGTAATAACTCCGGTGATAGTTAAATCAGTTAGATTTTTATTGATATTATAATGTGTCCAATGTTATATTTTTTGTATCGGGTTCTTTAAAGTACATTGTTAAAGTACACTTTTGGCTTTTATTTTCGTTATATATATATATCCCTCTAAATCTTCATCCTATTGTACTTACATATTACTTCCGGGTTTATATAACGTGGTATTCCAGAACACCTCTTTTAAACCCGGAAAACAATGTATCAGTACAGAATACCACTGCCACACTACTTATAGATAAAGCTATTTACTTTTTATAAGTCGTCAACTGGCTAGCCTGAAAATAAAGTGATCTAAAACCACTTTTTCGAGAAAATTAAAAAAATACATTTTAATGTATAAAGTGGTTGGTACTAAAACCAAAATTTTTATACAAAAGTTTAATTACGGCTACCAAAAATCTTACAAACATAAAAAAAATTCTTACTGATAACTGAACTTAATTTTGTTAATTTTTTATTTAAAAATGTAACATAGACCATTTTAGAATTATTAAAAATAGCTAAGTAAACTTATTCATCCAAATCTTCATCTCGAAATAGTGATAGTATGTCTTCATTATCCTCCCTATCACCTCTGCGATTGTAATGGGGTAAAGAAAGATAAAATGGGTGATGCACAGGAGGTACAAATTGTAGCATTTTTTTTATATCTTTCATTTTATTAAAAGATAAGATAATATCTGCGGCAACCTCCGGGGGAAAGTTTTTTAATACCTGTGCAAATTCTTGAAAAGAATTCATTTTATTTAGATCTATAGCATTATAAGTATCCGAGTAATCATCATTGAAAAACATTACCGATGTATCGAGGTATAATTCCATCCATGCTTCAGGAGTGTACACTGGGGTTAAATTTTGTGCCCTACTAATAAATGAAAAATCGCCATCGTTTGGTAAATATGTGTGACCGGTAACCAGATAATTTACATAGATATCTTGAATGTTCGGTAAAACGTTAACCATGTACATAAAAAAATGTAACAAATTTCAGTTCCGATTTTGTCCCCCACAACAGTCACTAAAGAGAACAAGTTTTGAAGCATGAGAAGGAATTTCATTTTTAAAATAGTGATATAAACAACTTATCACTTCTTGAGAACCTCTAGCCCCTTTGGTTTCATACCACATGTTAATAAAAACGTTTTCTCCACCACTTTCATAAGTATGAATTCCTAAGTTTAACATGTGCATCTGCCTTAAGTAATACACCCCACCGGTATTTATGTGAGGTAAGGGAAGTGTTCTTTCCAAATCAAATGTAATTAATACACCTGTACTGTCCGGCTTCACACACTCGTTTTTGTAATCTTTCAGAAGTTTCCTAGCTTTTTAAGCCAGAGCAATATGCTGGCCCCTTTCTATTTTTACTTCTTCTGATTTTTGTTTATTACTTTCTGCATTTAAACTTATTTGAACTGCACCGCAAAATTTGCAAGTATCTTTTTTAGGTATATAGAAATGAATATTAAATTCGGTTCTAAAGATTTTTTCATAGATACTTTTTTTAAGAACTGGTTTTCCTTTAATAATTAATTTACATTTAAACAGTTCGTACATTTTGAAAATATTTAAAGAGGGTGCTTAACATTGACGCTTTGAGATTCTTTCTCCATAGTTGCTCTTAAATTTAGGAAAACTATTAATGTGATTACGAATCCACTTCAATTTCTCCTCGTTTATTTTATTTCCAGGAACTTTTCTTCCTCTTCGATCGGGGGAAGGGATGTCACTATTTTCGGCTTTTTTTACTCTTAGTGCATAATCTAATCGATGATTACTTATTGTAATACTTAAAAAAAAAATACACACGTTCTGACCATTTAATTGAAATATCCGTAAATACTGTTTACGACTCACAGATTCTGGGTGTATTTTTTTTTGGGGACGTTTACATTCAATGTAAAAAAACGTTTTAGCGGCAATAACTTTCCCTTTTATATTAGTGTATTTCTCTCCTGAAGCTCTACATCTCTTTCTGACGTATTTTCCCCATAAAGCCTCTTGTTTCATTTTCTTTCTTCCCTTTCTTACTTCAGTTTCGTCTGGTTCTTGAATTTCTCCAAGATTTTCCATGTTTTGATTCAACAACACAGGTTCATGTTAAACATCGGAATCTGTAACAAGAGGAGGTAGTTCAGTATGTTTACTTAAAACAATAACATTATGTAACGTTGCGATGCGTTAAAGCTTTCTTTTAATTAAACTGTTATAATGGTTTTAAAATAACTCTTAAAATACCCATTAGGGGCAGACAAATTTAACAAAAATGTAGCTTATTTAGTTTTAATATATTAATTTCTTTGAAAAATAAAAAATATGGCAACAGTGCGCATCAACATATTAATGTGAAAACATCAGCACGTGGTTTTTGCTACTAGTTACTACAATCACTTTCTATTTAAAATCAATTGCTTCCCTTATTGGTTACTAAACTATAATATTTTATTTAAACATGCACTTACTTGTATTTGTGTTACTATCTCTTGCATCAGAATCGCTGCCATAATTATTTGAAGGTATGTATATAAATTGTCTTCCACTAGTCGGCGTGTACGAGACCTTATTGAAATATTCGTAGTCATTTTTCACATTAACACAACCGATCTACTAACTAAATAACTGCAACCTCCCGGTTTGAGGTTAGTACCAATGACAGTGCCACAGTGTTGCCGCTCTATTAATAATTGTTGATTAATGTGCTTCATAAACCACTTTAGAATTTAGAATTTTTACTTTGGTAGAAATCAATAGGTCTATGATGCATAGGGTTACATAGACCCTTTACGAATTTGAACAAATTTCAATTTCCCCAAAATTAAAAGTGGTACATTGTTATTTTACGGACTCTCACTGAGATTTAGACATAGATCACTTTAGTACTGATAGATTACTAGCTTTTAAAGTCAAATATAACAAAATCTAAATATTTATACATATGCGACATAGACCACTTTAGCTCCAGGCTAGCCAACTGGTGGGTATGATCCTGTTGCTGTCTCCGATCGATTTTGCACTAGGATTTTAGTCTTTGTGTTTATTGACAGACCTATTTATTTAGCATATGATTTAAATATCTAGTCCCTGATAAATGGCTAGAATCAGAATTCATAGCGATACCTAAAAAACAGGGGGCTAAAAAGTGCGAAGAATATTGAACAATCAGCCTAATGAGCCATATGTTGAAACTGTTTCTTAGAGTCATCCATGGAAGAATTTATAAGAAGTGCGAGGAACAAATATCGGACAGACAGTTCGGCTTCATTAACGCAGTGGGTACTAGAGAGGCACTTTTCGGAGTACAGGTACTGATTCAAAGATGCAGGGACGTTAACTGCGACGTATACGCGTGCTTGATCGACTATGAAAAGGCATTTGACAGAGTTCAACATCAAAAGATGATAAACATTTTAAAAGAGGCAGACCTGGATGACAAAGACCTCAGAATAATTTTAGAACTCTACTGGAATCAGACCGCATACATGAAAATTAACGGAGAAGAAACAGATCACATAAAAATACTACGTAGAATTAGACAGGGATGTATCCTATCGCCGTTGATATTTAATATGTACTCAGAGAAAATTTTTAACGAGGCTCTTTACGGAATAGACGAAGGCATCCTTCTAAATGGTGAAAGAGTAAACAATGTTAGATATGACGACGACACTATGGTGATAGCAGATAGTTTAGAGGGACTTCAGAGGCTAATGGACAGAATAAACGAGTACAGTCAACAGTACGGACTAAACATTAATACCCACAAAACGAAACAAATGATTATCAGCAAGGAGAATATCAACGGGGCTCATCTATACATTAATGGGACGCAGATAGAGCGAGTACAACAGTATTATTAACGAAGAGAGGAGCAATTTACAGGAAATAAAGTGCCGCATAGGAAAGGCAAGAACGGTCTTTAACAAAATGAGCGCCATCTTCAAAAGTCACAACATATCCCTTGATACAAAAAGGAGACATTTCAGATGCTATGTTTTCTCTGTGTTGTTGTACGGGGCGGAGGCATGGACGCTTACAGACACCACTATTAAAAAACTTGAAGCATTTGAGATGTGGCTTTATAGAAGAATGCTGAGAATATCATGGACAGCAAGGATCACGAACAAGGAAGTTCTAGGAAAAATGAAGAAGGAACCAGAGATTGTGTTTACGATCAAACGCATAAAATTGCAATATCTGGGACACGTTATGAGAAATCAGCACCGTTACTCCCTGCTACAGTCTATATTGCAAGGTAAAGTCAAAGGTAAGCGAGAACCCGGTAGAAGGAGAATATCATGACTGCGGAATTTAAGAACATGGTTTAAGAAAACCTCAACGGAGCTGTTTCGAGCCGCAGCGAGCAAGGTTATGATTGCCAATATGATTTCCAACATCCGAAACGGATAGGAACCAGAAGAAGAATGATTTAAATTCCGTATAGGCATTCTTGCTTTTTGCTTTGATTCTTCTCATGATATTTATGTTACCTGCGTACCTGTGTATAGTTTCTAGCTTCTGACGTTTTTTTAACTACTAATTCCATTGCCAAAATAACCATTTATGATATCAGCTCATAGCCTTGTTTTATTTGGAATGGATGTGTTATCTCACGTTGTATCTTTACGTGAGCCACTCATCCGTCATCGTTATTCGGATGAGATAACTAATTTTGGTGGTATTTCAAATTCACTTAATATTTTGTATCAATGTGCCATGTTATTGAGACATAAGTCGACGAGAATATTATAGACATCTATGTTTCTGACTTTGCCTAAAACATGCTGAACCGTGAATAGTTGGTCGATGATATTCTACATTCTTCTTCTTTTTCTTCTTCTTCTTCGTCTAGCCATTCACGTCCACATCTGAACATAAGCCTCTTCAAGTCTTCCTTTCCATTGTTTTTTATTGTACGCTACTTGTAGCCAATTTTTCCTGGCAGTCCTTTTCAGATCATCTGTCCATCTCATAGGAGGTCTGCCTCTGGGTCTTTTGTGTTTGTATGGTCTCCAGGTTAAAATTGATCTGTGCCATTTGTTTAGATCGCTCCTAGCTACATGTTCAGCGTATTCCTATTTCAACTTTTTTTCATTCTACATTCACGGACTCAAAATTCTTCCTACTTACTAGCAATGAGAGAGGTGAGATATGACGGAGAGCTGTGGCGGTGCTACTTACAATTTCCAACTCGTAAACACAGAGTTTCAAGTAGCGAAAAGTAAGAGCAAAAAATATTGAATCTTAGCTTATGAGGACACTGAAGAAACAAGAGTTCTCATACCCACCCAAAATTAGATAGTGTATGCTACATAGGAAGAAGAAATAATGCGATGTACCTTAAACATATTTATTTAACACAATCAGCTCTACAAATATCCTGTATATAACAAACAAATTGTGGATACAAACAATTAAATCGGCGAAAGACTATGTTTCTCGGACGGTGTTAGTTCTGGATGCCAAATATCGACTATTAAAATTAATCTAAAATCCGTTCCATTATGCCACACTTCGTGTTCAAAGCTGTCGTCAAAGACAAATATTTCACCTTCTTTCCAACTTCTGCAATAAAAAAAATCATGTATACATAAAAATTATTACCTTTTATTTCGCTTATTATTAAATTTGGATTGATGTAATGGTCTAAGTATTCCAATTAATAGGTCATATAAATTTTTATTTATCAGTGGCACATTGTTGCTGATTCATTTAACATTGTGAAAATATAACCTTGATGAATCAGTCCATGCAAACGATTATAATAGTACAAGTTTATCAACTTCTTAAAGTTCAAGGATTGGTCTGAAGCTAGAATTCATAATAATTATTAATATACGAGGGCGATTTGACTTAAAAACGGAGCTTAATACAGGGTGTCTCAGACTAATTTACCCACGCTATATCTCTTAAACGATTAGATATTTTTGAATGGGACAAATTGGGATGGGACATCTATTCTACTTGTAATACACTTTAATATAGCGAAGAAAAAATCATCCCCTAAATATTCATCCCTTAGTTACAACCCCTAACTTTAATTTTTTTTAATAGCACCGTGTATATTTTTTTATAGTTTTGGATGTGGTCTTCTATCATCTATTCCAGGGGTGTCCAACTTGCAATGCCTCAAGGGCCAAAACTAAAACCTTTGATGTTGTCGCTGGCCATATAATAATTTTGTTACAATAACAAAATAAAGTAAGGTATAAAAATAATTAAAACAAAAAAGAGTATTATTTCTTTTATTGCTCAACAACTACATTTTTTTATAAACGGAAAATTTATTGATAACACTTTTCAATAATCAAGACAAACATTGCAAAAGCAACGAAAAAGATGTATCCAATTAGTGTGAGGAGTGTGGTCGATCGGCTTAATCCACCAATAGAACTGTCCACCTAGAGTTCAGTTTTGGACACTCTCATAAGATGACGTAAGGAAGAATCGGTAAGGTTGCTTCTGTTTTTATTTTTTATGTATTTCATGGAGGAAAAGGCACTTTCACATGTATATGTGCTTCCGAACATTGACGTCATTTTCAGTCCAAAATCTCGCAGGTTTGCTAATTTCTCCTTTGACAGTAATTTGAAAAATTCAGGTCCCTTTTCTTGTCTGGTGATTAGGAACATGTCTGCTTGATGATCACATAACTTAAGCTATAAGCTGGGTGGTTGATCATCAATGGTTGCTCCAATAGGGTTATTATAAAGTACTACGTTGCTTTTGAGACGTTCAATTTCTTCAAATCTTGTATTGAATTCATCAATTTGTTCAATTTGTGAAATCTAGGATGATGACTCAATATTTTCCTCACCGTTGAATTCTTCTGCTATTTGCAGACAGCTAGGGAAGTGTGTCAGTTTGTTCTTTTCCAAAGCACGTTTAAACACGTTCAGCTTATTCCGGAATCCGTTTATCTTTCCGATCAAATCTGAAACCGTCTGGTTTCTTCCTTGAAGACTTAAGTTTAATATGTTAAGATGATTAGTCAGGTCTGTTATAAAAGCCAACTGTCTTAAGAATTCTGGATCCTTAAACTTCTTTTCCAGTTCAGTTGTGTCAGATGAAACGTATTTGTTGAGAAATACAGGGATTTCCTTTCTTATGGCAAAAAATCGTTCCATGCACTTTCCTGCACTCAGCCACCTTACATGGTTGTACATTAGCAAGTCTCCATACTCAGCCTCTGTTTCCACTAAAAACTGCTTAAGTTGCCTGTGTAAAAAGATCGATTTCCACCTCTAATAATATTTATAATCTTAATCACGATTTGGAAAACTTAATCTTCCTTGACTGATTTTCCACATAAAACTCCCTGATATATAATACAATGAATTGTTGGACGATTGTGTTCGTTACGCGTCAGCGAAGCGGCACGCGGTACAGTACTTGTAATGTAAAAACACTGCTAAACCATAAAATATAAAATAAATTAAAAAATCTTTTTTCACAGTGGCAGCATTTAAAGAAAATAGAGTTTTTAGAAAACATTCTACCCAATTTGCTAGAAGGTATTCCTCTTCATGAGCGTCAAGAAATGTGGTGGCAACAAGACGGAGCTTCTCCACATAATGCGAGAATCGTTAGCGACCACCTACAAAACCGTTTTGATAACCACTGGATAACAAACAACTCTGCAGAAATTATGTGGGCCGCACGTTCATGTGATTTGTCACCTCTTGACTCTTTCTTGGCAAAATTGGACCAGTATTTCTCCTTTATCATTTCTTTGGCACAAACCAAAGTTTCCTACTACGTCTTCGGTCCGCCCTTCACCTACTATGGCATTAAAATCTCCCATAATAATGTTTACAGCATTTTTCTTTGTGATCTTCATTAGCTGTTTGATATCTTGGTAGAATTCTCGTACTTCTCTTTCTGGTTTTTCTGCTCTTGGACATATACTTGAATCCACTATCTAACATCTTTAAAATTTTAACTACAACGTTCTCATTTAAAACAGTAGTTAAATATGTACGCACGTGCACCTGATCAGTTTTGAGGTTAGATTCTTTGATATGACTGGCTCATACGCGGTATGTGATGTAGGAAGTGGCGAGGGTGCCGCATTATTAGACGTGTCGGTTTATTGAACTATAACTTACCTTATATCATCTGCAACTCTCAGGAAAGTATTACTTGGAACTTTTAGGCCTAAATGTGCTCTAAGTCTACAATTGGTAGGCCCACAATGGGGCCAAATGTGAGTACCAGGATGCATTACACTAAACTTTGTTTGCCCTCTTTTACAATTTTTTGCTTCTGGAATTTGATTGATAATACTACAAGTAAACGGACATTTTTTGCAATTGTTTACATTTTTCTGTCCTCTTGCATATAACTCAAATTGTTTCCATTCACCAGTATCTCTCAGGTTTTCCGACTCGTCTTGGAAATAACCTTTTTCACTTAAAATGGATAGACCTTCTTCTCGTATCTTTCGCCATGACTGAAGTAACAAATTGAAGAATTTTGGGTATGGAATGTCTTCAGGGTTCCACCATGGTTTACCAGATAGTTTAGGAACGTTGTATAGAGATCTTTGATATTTTGAAAAAAACACTTTGTTGTTTGTGCCTTCTTCGTATACCTAAAACATTAGATCGTTTACCTACTTTATAAAGTTCGTAGTTAAAGTATTTTATACAAGTTTACATTTTTTAACAATATAGGCAGTTCCAAGATGTTTTTAACAGCCCGTAATGCAGGAAGTAATGAATATTTTTATTTGAAAATTAGGAAATGTTAATTGAACTTACAATACTATCAATTGGTGTATACACGAGATCTGTGACGTCATCACGGACGCTGTAACGTCATTATAATGGAAAAAACTGATCATGGGAGTAAAAGTCAAGTCAAACGAAAGGCTTTTATTCCAAATTCATGGGTATAACACAATGAAGGTTATTAATGTTAATAAATATACTAAATTTTTAATTTAATGGACCCGTCCGATGGCCTCCAAGATCGCCTGCTACCATGCTTAGATTATTTTGTATGGAGCTATGTAAAAGGATAGCGGTAGCTTAGGTAGCTTAGGGTAGCGGGTAGGTACCCCTCTATGATCCCGATAGAGGGTAGACTTACTTCAGGGAGGTAGCGCCCCTGCCCACGTGAGCTCCTGGTTTTCCTCTACTCCCTACTTAGGGGAAACCAGGCCCAAACCCCAATATTATCCTACCCAAACCCCAAATTCCTTCCCTATATCCTCCCCCAACTCGCCAACACGTCTGGCCAGCGTGGCGTTTTAAGGCCAAACCCCCCGTAAACATGCAAAACACAAACCAAACACGGCCCTCAGTCCCCGGCAGCTCAAAAATCTCTGACCAAGGTAGCGGACAGAAAAGATTAAGAGCAGAGGGTGCTAAGAATACCCGGGATGGACCAGGCTACCACTCAAGACGGCTAAACTGCACAAGAATACTGCATCTTGCATCCTATAATATAAGAACCCTCTCAACCGATCATAAACTAATAGAACTGGAAAACGAATTAAAAACAATAAAATGGGATGTAATGGGACTTAGTGAAATTAGAAGGAGAGGAGAAGAACAACAAACATTGAAATCAGGACACCTGTTCCACTACAGAGGAGAGGAACATTCATCCAACGGTGGAATCGGGATCATTGTACATAAAAAACACATACCCAACATAACAAAAATCGAGACCATAAGCACGAGAGTCATCCTATTGATATTAAAACTAAACTCTCGTTATAGTTTAAAAGTTATACAGGTCTACGCCCCGACAACTGGACACACAGATGAAGAAGTTGAAAAATTCTATGAGGATGTAGCAGAGGCACAACAAAGAACACGAACACACTATACTGTTCTCATGGGCGACTTCAACGCAAAACTCGGATTCAAACAAGACCAAGCGGAGATCGCGTTAGGAAAGTACGGATACGGGGCAAGAAACGCAAGAGGGGACATGCTTTTAAACTTCTACATCATCAATGCATGTTTCAAATGAACTCTTTCTTTAAAAAGAAACCCCAAAACAAATGGACTTGGATAAGCCCTGATGGCGCCGTCAAAAACGAAATCGACTTTATAATTACAGATAAAAAATATATAATACAAGACGTGGAAGTACTCAACAAGTTCTCTGCTGGCAGCGACCACAGAATGATAAGAACAAAAGTAATGCTTAACGTTAAAAAAGAAAGAATGAAGCTTGTTCCTAAACCAAATGTTAGAAGATGGGTACCACCTGAAAATGCAAAACTGTTTGAACGTACGGTCGAAGAAAAATTACAAAACGAAGAAACAGAAAACATAAACATCGAACAACTAAATCAGAAAATAGTCAAAGCTCTGAAACAAGCACAAGAAAAATGTTGCCCAAAAAACCAAAAAGACGAAGAAAAACTAAGTCTAAGCACGAAAACTCTATTAGAGGAAAGAAGACAACTAACAGATAAATACAGAACCAATCTAACAAAAATGAGACAACTAAACAAACAAATCACTAAGAACATCAGAAAAGATATAAGAGACTACAACACCAGAGAGATATCAAAAGTCATAGAAGAGAACAAAAGTTTAAAAGTCTTCAGAAGGAAACAGCAAATAGGAAAGAAAAATATTTACAAACTGAAAAACACCAAGGGCGAAATAATAACAGATAAACAGGAAATTCTACAAACTGTCGGACAATTTTACAGCGAACTCTACAGCAAAACAGAAGAAAATGTTTCAACTGACAACATACCAAAGGTTCTAAACCAGGGCTCGGAAGACATACCAGATGTTACTGTTGATGAAATCAAAAAAGCTCTCCTACAAATGAAAAATAACAAGTCACCTGGCGACGACGGGGTCGTTGCCGAAGCCATAAAATTAGGAGGCGAGAAACTGATACAAATGCTTTCCATACTTTTCACAGAATGCCTTGAAAGAGGAACAACACCATCACAATGGCAAAATGCAGTGATCATTCTAATGTTTAAGAAAGGAGATTTAACAAATCTCGTAAACTATAGACCAATCAGCCTCATCTCACACATATACAAGCTTTTTACAAAAGTCATAACAAACAGACTTTCGAACAAAATGGACTTTTATCAATCATGCGAACAGGCAGGATTCAGGTCAGGCTTCGGCACAAACGACCATCTACAAGTTATTAAAAGCCTCATCGAAAAATGTATAGAGTACAATAAACCCCTCGTCCTAATTTTTGTGGATTATGAGAAAGCATTCGACACAGTAAACCACCAGAAAATGCTAGAAGCTTTAAAAGAGTGCCGAATAGATCACCGCTACACCACTGTCATCAAAAATATCTATGATAATGCCACGGCATGCGTCAGACTTCATGAAGATACACACAAGTTCAAAATTCATCGCGGAGTTCGCCAGGGCGACACCATTTCGCCAAAACTGTTTACAACATTATTGGAATACATGTGTAAGCGTGCAAACCTAGACGAAAAGGGCATAAACATAAATGGAGAGCAGCTTAGTCACCTTAGGTTCGCGGATGATATAGTCCTGATAACAGACCGCATAGATCATGCCATCGAAATGTGCGAAAGACTCTACCATGCCTCTACACAAGTGGGTTTAAAGATCAATAACTCAAAAACACAAGTGATGACAAACCTTGTTCTGAGTGAGAACATCAACATAGCTGGAACAAGTATAGAACAAACATCAGCATACAAATATCTGGGACACGAAATTCGCTTAAGTAGAGATAACCAGACCAATGAACTATTACGTAGAATAGGGTTGACATGGGCAGCTTATGGAAAGCTAAGAGATGTTTTCCAATCAGCCCTTCCCATCTGCTTAAAGAGAAAAGTCTTCGATCAATGTGTGCTGCCAGTTCTAACCTATGGTGCGGAGACGCTAACACTTACTAAGACGTCCGCAAACAAAATTCGAACAACACAGAGGGCAATGGAACGGTCCATGTTGGGATTAACCCTGAGAGACCGAATACCCAACACAGAATTACGCCGTAGATCGGGAGTAACCGACGCAATCAAAAGAATATCAACCTTAAAATGGAACTGGGCAGGGCACGTCGCGAGAACGAAGGACGGCAGATGGACAAAACGCATTCTTGAGTGGAGACCCAGACAAGATGCCTTTAGAAATAGAGGACGACCACCAACAAGATGGACGGATGACCTGAAACGGACACATCAAAATTGGATGCAGGCGGCTCAGGACAGAAATTTGTGGGGTGAACTACGGGAGGCCTATGTTCAGCAGTGGACGAGTATGGGCTGAATGATGATGATGTAAAAGGATAGTTTATAATGAAGAACCTACAGATATGTGGCCGATTTAAAAACTAAAATTAGACAAGCGCGTACCCTGATTTCGCCAGAGATGACAGATATATGCGGCATGTACACGTGAACTGCTTAGACGTTGTGGCTTATGTTAAAGCTGAATTCGGTCATTTTGAAAACCTCGTATAAAATTAATTTCATCAAACCTAACCTTCATTCCACTTTGATCTATTTAATTTTTTCCATTGTATTCCATTCCATTGTTTTCTAGATCTCATGTTAACATCAATAATTGATAGTATTGCTATTTTCCAATTTTCAAATAAAAATATTCATTACTTTCTGAATTATCGGCGGTTAAAAACATTTTGGGACACCCTGTATAATGTGGAATAAGTAAATTTTTCAAACAATGAAGTCAGATTATTGGTTAAATTTTATGAAACAAAAAGAAAATAGTCATCCTTGATATGTAGCAATATTCATTAAAATTTTGTGAAAATACTGATCGACATTTACCTATATCCAAGAAAAATAAAGCAAATAGATGCTCGCAGTTCAGATTAATTAGCCTGATGAGCCATTTTCTAAAATTTTACTCAAAATTGTACATCAACTAATATACAGAGAATGCGAAAGAAACCTGAGCGACAATCAAGGCATTATTTGGCATCCAGATATTACTACAAAAATGCCGAGATCAGCGAAAAGACTTGTTTCTCTGTTTTATCGACTAAGAAAAAGCGTTTATGATCGAGTACAACACACAGAACTCATAGAAACCCTAACACAACATGGTATAGACCATAACACTGGAGCACTTATTAAAAAAATATATTGGGATCAAATTGGGTAGTTTGAAGAATGTATTTGTCACACAAAGATTGTTCTCTACGCAGAATTCTACAAAACGGTCTCCTTTGTCATTACGTTGTCCAAAATTCCCTACAATGTTTCCTTGTCTACCTTTTCCTACTTTGGCAAGTCCCCCGTCTTTGTTTTTCAGCTGAGTCATTACCTTCTTTATACCATCATAAAAATTCACTATTGCTGGCTGTGGGCGCATAAACTTTTCTTTATCACAAGGATTTCGCTGGATAATGGCTTGGGAAGCCCTGTGTGCTTGTCTTCTCCTGTCGGATCTTGGTGTCCGATGACCATGATCAGTATACATTTTCTTATCATATGATAGTGCCATTATGATTGAACTAGGGAATAATAATGGGGTGGCTTCCTGCTGCCATCCCCATCGCAGTATCACAGCCATTTAAACTGCTTCAGTCATACTTGTGATAGCCCAGTTTCAAGTCGATCCAGGATTATTTCCTCTACGCCTTAAGCTGGTATTGATGATCGCTGCTGCCCTTCATCACATATAGTTATTCGATATTATCCGTTATTTAACATCCGGCATTCGGATGTTAAAACAGTCGTTAAACAACGTTGACTGGGCTTCAGTTGTTTCTCTCAAAACAGCAACAGAATTAGCTCAATTTATTACCGAAATGTATGTTAAGTTAACTGAAATTAATTTTCCATTAAAAAAATCACGAACTCATAGTAAAGCTCCAATTTCTTGGTTTGATGATGAACTAATAGAAATGCGAAAAAATCTTTCCTCAGTCAAGATAATTGCTGATGTTACAAAGGAATATAGTGAGTATAAAAAATTTAAGAAGCACTATAAATCAACAATATCATTAAAGAAAAAACTGGCTTATGAAAATTTTTTTTCCAATTCTGAAAATATATCTCGTGATAGTTGGAAAGTTATAAATTATCACAGAAATAAATTTCAAAATAAAAAAGTCTGTCCAAGCGCGATTACATCAAACGATTTTAATAATTTCTTTACTTCAGTGGCTAAACATATTAGAAGTTCTTTTAATTCTACAAATGAAAATGTAGCCATAGATTTTTTGAAAGATGTACACTCTCCTTGCAACTCTTTATTTTTATTACCTGTTAGTGATACTGAAATCAGGAATGTTTTGCATAGATTGAAAAATTCACACTGCTTGGATTTTTATTTCTTAAACAAAAAAATAATTGTGGAAACAATCGATATTATTATTGACAAATTAATTATACTTTATAATAATTGTCTTACTGAGGGGATTTTCCCAGATGTTTTAAAAGTAACAAAAGTGCTACCAGTGTTCAAAAAGGGAGCTTTAGATGAAATTGGAAATTACCGTCCCATCTCAATCATTCCCATTTTCGGCAAAATTTTTGAGAGTATTCTAAATGTTTGTTTGGTAGAATATCTAAAAAAACACAAAATACTTCACAGTAACCAATATGGCTTTAGAAAAAAGTGTAGCACTACACTAGCTATACAGAAAATTGTGAGAGATATAGTTGATGGCTTGGAGGAAGGTCATTTTGTGTCTTTGACATTGTGTGACATCCAAAGCTTTTGACTGTGTTTCGCATGAATTACTGTTGGAAAAAATGCATAAGTACGGTATTAGGGGAAACACTCTTAATCTATTTAGATCATACCTAACAAATAGAAAACAGGCAGTTTTTCTTAATAACAGCTATTCTGAGTTTAACACTGTCGAATATGGTGTACCTCAAGGTTCGATATTAGGACCCACTTTGTTTCTTATTTATCTGAACGATTTGTTTCACTACACTTTTCCTAGAAAATGTGTTTGCTTCGCAGATGATACAACTCTCATAAATACTGATATTAATCAAAATAATTTAAAAATTAAAATAGATAGTGATACCAAGAAAGCAAAAAACTGGTTCTCACATAATGGGCTAATGCTAAATGAAGAGAAAAATCAGAATTTGATTTTTAGTTCTGCTTGGAAGTATATCTTAAGAAATAGTGTTAAACTATTAGGAATCTTTATAGACGATAATTTGGATTGGAGTGCTCATATAGATTACTTAAGTTCTAGACTTGCTACAAGTATATTTTTAATATGCAACTTAGTTTATATGATTCCTAAAAATACCCTTAGAATGTGCTACTTTGCACTATTTCATAGCCATTTACAGTACGGAATAACTGTTTGGGGTAATTCTTCTTACGCAGATCGAATTTTTAAATTACAAAAAAGAGTAGTGAGGATACTTGCAAGAGCAGAGTATAGGGAACACTGTAAACCTTTATTTCTGATTTAGGTATTATGCCACTACCTTCACTATATATATATATATATATATATATATATATATATATATATATATATATATATATATATATATATATATATATATATATATATATATGAGACGCTGATTGAAATTCATGCCAACAAAGGAAAGTTTAACGTAAACTCCAACGTCCATGATCACGATACAAGATCTAGAGATGCTATTAGAGCACAACGTTTTAGGTTGACAAAGCGCGTAAAAAATTCGACTGACGTTAGTTTGTATAACTTTTTGCCAGATGAAGTAAAAAGTCTTCACTTGTTATCATTTAAGCATAAAATCAAATCACACTTTTTGAAACATTGTTTCTATTCAAAAACGGAGTACTTAAGTACAGCTTTTACACAATAGTACTAGTTTGGTCAGGGCAGTTGCCTATTATAATTATATTTCATGTTTTTTTTATAATTCCACAAAGTGTGTTTGTCTTTGTTTTAACTGTTAATATTAAATACATACATGTTTGTAATGTTTAAATTATCCAAAAAAAAATTTTATATGTTTTATAAGTATTGTCACTATTCCTTTGACTTGTCAAAAACAAAACTATTTTTGTATATTGATTAAATAAATTCTATTCTATTCTATTATCCCTAAAATCAAGGGATTGCCACTTCCGCCATCCCTATCGTACCGAAGGAATTCTTCTCCGCCGTGGCTGCCGTTGTGGAGTTCATCCGTGACCCTGGACAAGAGACCCTAAGCAGGTACTAGTTTCCCAGGTCAGGACACACCTGTACAAAATGTAACAAAAATGTAACGAATGTGGCCAAATATTGTTTCAATGGCTAGAAGTTGTGAGTACGATAAACGAAATGGAGGTCTTGGGTGACGTAGGTCAAGATAGTTAGGGCAGGTGAAGGACAGACAAAAGTATCCAATACAAAGATTTGCTAAGACTCGCTGGAGGTTTCTGGAAGGAGCAGAAGAGAAAGATAAAAAAAATAAACATTATCAACATATAATAACGATAGTTAAAATTTACCTTGTCGGCTTCCTCCCGTCTTCCTAAACGAACGAGAGCGTCACCTAGATGAAAATAAAATCTACCATCTATAACTCCTTCATCTTTCGTATTAATTCCCTTTTTCAGATACCGTACGGCTTTCTCTAGTGCATTATCTGTAGTTTTCAAAATAAAACCATAATGTACCAAGGCAAAACCGTTATTGGGCCATTTTGCCAACACTTCCTTTAAAACACTTCGCGCTTCTTCAATCCTGTAGACATCGTATGCATAACTTTTTAACAGAACAATGTAATCTTATAGCTAAAATATAAAATACACTATTGCTTTCTGACCCTCAAAGTGCCATTGACCCCAAATTTCTACGCCGTTCTGTTCGATTTAGTTGTATAGTCTTTTGAAGATGATCAGTTCTGGTTTGAACTATGGCAAAAATTTGTGCAGTAGGGTAAATGCGTATAAGAGTATGCACTTAATATTAAAAGTGCGACAGTTTTTATTTTTACGAAAATGGACTATTTATAATTCTTCACATTGTTAATCAACCATTTAAAAAGGTGTTTTAGAATAGTTTTAAGCCATGTTTGTATTCGAATGAGAAATATTTAATTTTGTTTGCGAAGCTGCTAATGCGTACTCATAGGGAGAGCGCCCACCAAAGTGGCGTGGCAGTGGCAAGTAGCAAGTAGCACGTGTCTAGCATAATGTAACCAATCCTAACGAATGATTAGAATGAATGACGTTACTGTCATTTTGGTGTAAACTGAATCATTCGTTTTCATTGGTTACATTATGCTAGACGCGTGCTACTTGCTACTTGCCACTGCCACGCCACTTTGGTGGGCGCTCTCCCTTATACACAAATTTGCATAAGAGTACGCATCTAGATGTTTAAGAGTACGCACATTACTGGAGTGTACAAAAATATTAAGACATTCCAATAATCAAACTTTATTTCTACAATAAACGCAACACAAATACATAAAAAAAGAAATATGAAAAGTATATTCTAGAACTCATTTTTATTTCATCTTTAAATCCATTGCTACTCCTCACAGTTAAAACACATGATCCAGTCTTCAACAGAATTTGAATATAATTCATCACATCCTGGGCACGTTACATCAGGATCATTTTCTTTATTCCATTTTTGAACTTTGGTTTTTTCCAAACCTACTTCTTTGGTTTTTTCCAAATTCTCAAGTTCTTTTGTATATGGGCTACTGGAAAGTATCTCGGACTTTTGAGATTTTGTTTTGCGTCGATTATGCTTTTCTTTAATTTTGGGTAATGGTAAAATCTCTGCCGCTGACATTGACAGACTTAAGCCATTAGTTCTAGCTTGTGATGGTATTAACATTATACACCATCTTCGCAATCGATATCAAGATTCTTCGCAATCGGTATCAACTTCAAAAGTTTAACAGAAGGGCGTAGAAACTATATTGCTGCGATAATGATATTGCCTAGATACAAGCCCGTAAAATAATTGCATTATATTAAAAATCAAACTTACCTATTAATAGTTAAATATGTAACAGCTAAATTATTTAAATGTTGAGGAGTATTTGGAAATTTATCTATAATCAACTTGTGTATTTGAATAGCATTTCTGTACTGACCTGGAATGATAAAAACAGAACAAATATTTGATTGAAGTTAATGTATAACTGAATAGAGAATAGGGAAAAAGAAATAATTATTTTCTTAGTAATTTTCCATTACGTTTTAGTCTTTCAACTCAATTATTAAAGTTTCTTAATTCTCAGTTGTTTCGTTTTGCTGCTTTTCTTTTTCTAGACAACCATGACCACCAATGCTCTAGTTCTTTGTACCATCATATTCCATACGTGCTACCACAAGGGCGATTCGGTGAAAAGAAATATACGAAACAAGCTGCTGGTGGATAGACTGCATATTGAAGATCCGTGTGATATAAGCAACGTTACTGGGGGATAGATACAGTGTCAGCACATGTATCCAGGGACTGTTCGTAGGGGGTGTCTTAGCTCCTCTCTTGTAAAATCTGGTCATATATGGAATGCTATCTAGACCAGGAACAATATACATAATATCCTGGGCTTTTCGGATCATGTGGACATCTTAACCTCCGGTAAATTTAATAGCAGTCAGAGATACAATGTAACAGGCTCTGATTGGTTACATAATGGATTTCAAATGTAGGGCAGCAAATAATAAATACAGCGACAGAAGTATGTGGAACAAGTATGAGGAGCAATGAAAGAAAGCAAACTGCATGGTGGAATAAAGAAATAAAACACCAGAAAACTATAAAGAATATAAAAAATACAGAAGATTAGTAAAAGAATTTGTTACAAAAGCAAAAATTGACAGAATTTGGAGAAAAGATGGAAACAACCAGTAAAGAGAATCAGAAACTGTCCTCTGGAGTTTTAAAATCAATGAGGAAAGAAAAAATTCAACACATAAAAACATAAAGAATAAAACTGGTCAACTTCTCACAGAAGAATCACCAATCGAAAAGATTTTCAAGATATGGTTGTGGTGGTCATGTTGTAGAAATATTAGCTATACTTTGTCTCAAAGTGACTAGTCTGTACAGGGAAGATATGCAATGCTAACCTTATGGGAATTTTGCCAAGACGTTGCTAGTTTTATGCAGTGAGCGATGCCGTTCTCTATTATCTATCTTTCAAAATAAACGGAGTAAACCAAGAGTTCTTATTAAGTCCTCACGTACAATTTTATGCAATTTACAAATATCCTTTGCTAATAATTTTACATAATACTATACATTATTTGTTTCTAATAGTAACTTATCAACTTTTATCTTTTATTAGTAGCAGTAGTATAATAAAATGTGCATTAAATAAACATTTGTTTCAAAGTTTTTCAAATTATTTCTTCTTAAAAGTTATTCAGTAATTAAGAAGCAATTAGAGTAATTCTTGTACAGAATATGTTTAAAAGCTTGATACATCCAGGGCCTTAATTAGTCTTTATTTGTTCTTCGGAGCGCGTAAACATATTCGAGTTATAATTATTTGTACCATCTTGGATGTACCTACTGTTACTGTTTTGTTATTGTTATTATTTGTTGGTGGCTGTAGTTGTGATTTGCTGTTTTATTGCCATTTTATTTTATTCGATTTTATTTAAATCTATAAACAAATGGTTTGTATCGCTACCACACACTGTAGAATTAAAAACAAACTGCTTGTGTGACATAAATAAAAGGCATTTCTTAATTTCTATTTTATGTTAATTTAACCCAAGTATGCTGTAGCAAATATTATTTATGTTTGAGAACTACTGACAGAAGGAAGCCAGGCAGGGTCGTTAGTGGACATTAGTACTTAAGCTACCCTCAACACAAAAGATGGATTAGGCTAAGTAGTAAGAAGTGACGTTTATTGTAATATAAGTTTGCAAAGAAGTATGGCATCGATGTTGTTCATTTACCCTGTACAGACAAGCCACTTTGAGACAATCTATAGTAGAAATATACGCGATTTAAAAAAAAAATGTTTGGCAGATAACGAAAGCAAATCTATTTTAAGAAATTTTATTTCTAAATATTTACAATACATTCCTAAATCTAAAGTTCTGAATGATGAAAAGAAACAATAGTTCATAGCTTGCGAATTTGAACCTCGAGAAAAAACTTTACGTTATTTCCAAAAAAATACTTTCTTCTTATAGTGTTGTCCAGCTATAATGGGTTAACGGATTATCTTAAGGTCAGACGTCTGTCTTTTGTGGCATACAAAAGCTCACCAGTATTATTTATGCCTGTTTAGTTGTTTCACGACATTTGTTTGCGACCTACTCCTCTCTTGCCTTCAATCTTTCCCTGGATGATTAGTTGAGGGATTGCGTATTTTTTCCAATTAGGATATGACCAGATATCCAATTTTTCGTACCTCGATCAAGTTAAATAATTCTCTCTAAGTAGTTACCCTTTTTAAGATATTCTCACCCTATCTGTCCATGGGATTATAGATATGAATATCCATATCTAAACATTCTTCGCAAACTTGTTAATGGAGGATATTTTTAACGTCAATGTCTCCTTGCCGTATAACAATATGAACCGTATATAGCATTTAACCATCCTGTAGCGGAGATTGAAGGAAAGATTGCGTTTACATCTATCTACCTATCTAATCAGCCTTAAACTCTTGGGCATAGGCCTCCCCTGTTAATCTCCATTGGTCTCTATTTTGGGCGATCTGCATCCAGTCCTTTCCTGCCGTTTTCTTAAGGTCGTCAGTCCATCTCATCTGTGGTCTTCCTCTTTTTCTTTTCTTTTCCCATGGTCTCCAGTGTAGAATTCGCTTATTCCATCTTTCATCTTTTTGCCGGAGAATGTGACCGGCGAAGTTCCATTTAAGTTTTGCAACCTGTCTTGATACATCGTTCACCTTTGTTTTTTCTCTGATCCATGAGTTTCTTTTCCTGTCTTTAAGACCGATACCCAGCATCTGTCTTTCCATTGCTCTTTGTGTTTTGGATATCCTGTCGATGTTCTCCTTTGTGAAAGTCCATGTTTGTGAGCAATATGTGATAACTGGTAAAATGCACTGGTTGAATACTTTCGTTCGCATATATTAAGGGAACTTTTTATTTTTTAGAAGGGAAGAATATATGATAGTTTGCCAAATGAGGCCCATACTAGTCTAGTTCTTCTTTTTATTTCTTCTGTTTGATTATCCCTGTTCAGCTTTATTATCTGTCCTAGGTATATGTATTCTGCCACCTGCTCTAATTTATTCTGTTTGACTACTATTTCTAATTGGTCTTCTTGGTTTGTCATATTTTTGGTTTTACTATAGTTCATCTCTAGACCTACCTCTGTCGCTTTTCTATCTAGTTCCTCAACCATCTTCTCTAACTCTTCCTTCTTATCTGTTATCAGGACTATATCGTCTGCATATCTCAAGTGGTTCAAGAGCTCTCCATTTATTCTTATTCCGTATGTATCCCATTCTAATTTTTTAAATATGTCTTCCATAGCCTGATTGAACAATTTTGGCGATATTGTGTCTCCCTGCCTGATTCCTCTTTCGAATTTTATTGGTTCTGTAGCGTGTTCGTTCGTCAATTTTATTGTGGTACTCGCATTTTTGTATATGTTTGTTATTAGGTCCGTGTACCTGTAATCAATTCTGTCGTTCTGTAGTGAGTTTTTGATGGCCCAATGTTCTATGCTGTCAAACGCCTTTCGGAAGTCTATGAATGCCATGTATAATGGGATTTGATACTCGTTCGACTTTTCAATCAGTATTTTTACTGTTAGCAGATGGTCGCTAGTACTAAAACCCTTTCTGAATCCAGCTTGTTCTCTTGCTTGGTATTCGTCAAGCTTAGTTGTTAGTCTATTTGTCATGATCTTCGTTAGTAGTTTAAATACAACACTTAGTAATGTTATAGGTCTATAGTTTTCTAAGTTCTCACGGTCACCTTTTTTGAACATTAATAGTGTCTCTGCATCGTTCCAGCTATCAGGTATTTCTTTTGTGGTCTATATTTTGTTCATGAGGATATGTAGGACTTCTCTAGTTGTTTTCCCTCCTCTCTTCAGCATCTCTGCAGTTATTCCATCTTTTCCAGGTGACATGGTTTTTTAATTCTTGAATTGCTTTCTTGATTTCTGTTTTACTTATTTCTGGTTGTAGGTCAGAGTTTATATTCTTTATTTTTGTGTTTAATTGTTTAAGAATTTCTTGCTGTGGTTTATGTCTTGTTCTGTATAGGTGCGTATAGTATTCTTGTGTCAACTTTATTATTTGTTTCATATCATTAATGGTTGTTCCTTCGCTGTTTGTCATTTCATTTATCTGAGTTTTACCGAGCCGTTGTTTTAAGCATTTCATATTTTTGTTCTGCTGGATTACTCTTTCAATCTTTGCTTCCTGTGTTTTTCTCTTGGTTTCTTTTATGTTTTTTCTAATTGTTTTATTGATTTCAGTATATTCTACTGTGTTTCTTTACTGCGGTTACATAGTAGCGGTTTATTATTCTTTTATTTACAAAGCAAATTAGAAGTAGGTCAAATAAGAGGTATGAATTTGAATAAAAACGGATTCTTCCTTTCTCAAATCTTGCTCTCATCTCAAAGCAAAATATCGCTCGCTCCGCGGCTCGTATTTCAAAACACTCGTATATTAGGGTACTCGTATATCGAGGTACCACTGTATTTTAATGCGATCTTAAGGTACGTATACATATGCGCGCCGCTCGGCGCGCCCGCTGTTCGTTTGTAGCATGTTCGTTAGGTTAGTACGTGTTTGCAAGAGGCGCACAAACGGCGCACATACGGCGCACTACGATCCACCTTCTGTCGGTTTTTCAACGAACACTTTGGTGGTTCGCATTACATATTTGGACGGGTTAGTGAAAGGTGTGATGATTTTTGGCGCGTCTGAGTATTATAATAGTATATTATCTTAAAATATTTGGTAGTAATGGAGTGGTCAGAAGAAAATATTATCAAACTTATTGACGCTTACCGTGGGAAATCCCTATTGTGGGATCCTCAACATAAGGACCATTTTAAAAAACCACTTAAAGCTGATGCCTGAAGGGAAATAGAAGCTGAAATAAATATACATGCGGACCAATGTAAAAAAAAAGGTGATTTCCTTGTTGTCTTCTTACCGGCGTGAAACAAACTGGCCATTACCAAGAAAGCACCACTCATCACAGAAATAGCGTAAGTTTTATCGCTTGACAGAGACATGATTATCTACAATTACTAAATGTTCGTCAGTTTTCTTTGGATCGCGGAAGGTTCGTCAAAATGAAAAATTTCAACGAACATTGAACGCGCCACGAACGCGCGGCGCACACAAGGCGCGAGGTTCGCGGCGCGCATATGTATACGCACCTTTAGACCTAAATAGTGTGCAAAACTTACCTAAGAATCTCATTCTGTTGATACATCTTTCGGATGCTTCAAGAAAGAGGGCTACTGGCACTGAATCCGTTTTTAACAAGGTTATGTACAACTGAAGAGCTTTCTCCAATATTTCGTTGCTTCTCCTTTGGTCAGCTAGTAGATCCAATGTTAGTGCTTTTCCATATAAAGCTCTGGGCGAGGACGGGGATTTTTGCAGGATTTTGTCAAAGAGTGCAAGAGCATGTGAAGTATTCTGGTTATAAAAACAAACAAAACACTCAAACAAAATCATGTTAGTATGAAAGGTATGTCAATTGTTATCAAAACGCGTGCGGAGAATTTTGATAAAAATTAGCAAAAACAAATAAGATTAAACGTAACAAGTTAACACTAGTGAGATCATTATACCAAAACTTCTATTAAAACTACAATTAAACGATAAAACAGTCCAAAAAAATCTGCTAATAAAAAGTAAAAACTAATTTTGTTAGACATATTGGATCGTGGGGCTTTTGGTTTCTTGATATTTATTCCTATCGTAAACATAAATAATTTTAGTATTTCATATTAGTTATTTTAAACTAATTCACTTACATTTTTAATGGAACTGTGAGCTTCATCAATGTCTTTTTTTATCTTAGAGTCTTCTTTATTAGTAATGTTGGTATACTCATAGTCATTATCTTCTGAATCTCTGTCAGAGTCAGACTCTGGCTTTTCAGGAAATTTCTTATCTAAAATAAACAAAAATTGTACATTGTTGCATACAAATTTAAAAGTAGTACTGAAAGCACTGCTATTTGTAAAAACAGTTTGGCTACTGTAACAAGGTATAATTTTGGAATACTTTTTTATGTCTCCTGTCAATATCCTTATATCAAGCTAATTCACTGGGACCATAGCTTATGTTAAACTTTTTCCGAATACATAAACCAATGAGCTATAACTATTTTGGGATACGGAGATTCCATATTTGGTATTTGCAATGTTGCCAGATTTTCAGTTTCTCTTATATTACTAGTAACTTTGGTTTTTCAAATGCACCACCCTGTATATTCAGTCATTATTGGAATCTCCTATTAAATACGAGTGCAACCATATGTAACACTTATGATTTTATGTAGTCTGGAAGGTCTTAAATACATAAAACACAAGTCTGGCAACGCCTAAATTGTTTCAATACATTTTTTAATACTAACTATTTTCAAATACATTAAAACGTAACAATTGATAGTTTAGAGTATTTTTTAACATAATAGTTACGTTATTAAGTGTTCAAAATGTGCTCCATTTGTGAGTTGACAGCACTCTAATCGATGATAGAATGCGTCTACCACATTTCTCCATGATTGTCTAGAAATTATTCGAGATTCATCGATAATTCATTGCCTTAGCTATGCAAGAGTTGCTTGTTAAGTTTTGTAAACTGAATTTTTCAAGTATCTCTAATAAAAATAATCTTTAGGATTGAGATCGGGTGAACGTGGAGGCCATTCAATTCTACCTTGTCTACCAATTTATCGTCCGGAAAATATCTCATCTAAATAACGCCGACATTTACACCAACTATCTGACGTTAAATTTCTTTAGATAAAAAATGGCCCAATTAAATAAGTACCTACTATAACTGACCATACATATAATTTTTGTGGTATTTGAGTATGGTTTTCACGCATTCAGTGTGAATTTTACACGAGTTCAGTTATTCAATACGAGTTACGTTACGAGATATGTTCACTTGATTTTATGTAGTCTGAAAGATCTTAAATTCATAAAACAGTGCAAAATATGTAGATTTTAATAAATTTAAATATTTAAATGGAGAATGCTGTGATTTTGACATTTGTTCACCATTTAAATTATGAACTAAAATTGCCAGTAGTTGTGGTTCAAAAAGTTCTGCAATTTAAATTGCTTCTCTAAAATGCCGTTCTCTAAACCGTTCTCCTATTCATAAGACGACGGTACAAAAAACTGTAAGGCGATTTGAGGAATCTGGAGAAGTAAAAGATAGATACCGATCAGGTTGACCGAAACGAGTTATCAATGACAACAAAACTTCAGATATAAGCAAAGTTTTGTTGAAGATCCACATACATCCCCAGACAGTGTTGCACAAGTACATGATGTAGGTCATTCTTCAGTCTTACGTTTATTACCTAAAAATAAATTTAAATCATACAAAATTAACTTATTGCAAGAATTAAGTGAAGATGACTTTGGTCGTAGATCAGAGTTTACTGAGGTGTTGATGGATAAAATTGAAAATTATTAAAATTTCGTTAACAGAATATGTTTTTCCGATGAAGCACCTTTTACACTGTGTGGAAGTGTAAAACGACACAATTTAAGGTACTGGTGTGACGTAAATTCACACTGAAGACTGAATGCGTGAAAACCATATTCAAAGACCACAAAAATTAAATGTATAATCAGATATATTAGTTACTTATTCAATTAGGTCATTTTTTGTCGAAAAAAATTTAACGTCAGATAGTTGGTGTAAATGTTCGGCGATATTTAGATGAGATATTTCCTGGACGATAAATTGGTAAACAAGGTAGAATTGAATGTCCTCCACGTTCACCCGATTTCAATCCTAAAGATTATTTTTATTAGGGATACTTGAAAAATTCAGTTTACAAAACTTGCAAGTCTTGCAGAGCTAAGGCAACGAATTATCAATGAATCTCGAATGATTTCTAGACAATCATGGAGAAATGTGGTAGACGCCTTCTACCATATATTAGGGTGCTGTCAACTCACAAATTGAGCACACATTTTGAACACTTAATAACGTAACTACTATGTTAAAAAATGTTCTAAACTATCAATTGTTACGTTTTAATGTATTTGAAAATAGTTAGTATTAAAAAATTTATTGAAACAATTTAGGCGTTGCCAGACTTCGGTTTTATGTATTTATGACCTTCCAGATTACATAAGTGTTACATATGGTTGAACTCGTATTGAATAGGAGATTCCAATAATGACTGAATATACAGGGTGATGTATTTGAAAAACCAAAGTTACTAATAATATAAGAAAAACGGCAAATCTGGCAACATTGTAAATATCAAATATGGAATCTCCATATCCCAAAATAGGTGTACCTCAAATTTTGTACAATTATGATTAGCATTTTACGAGATAATTAGCCGTTTCCAGACTTTTGGGCCACTCTGTATGCTTTATAAGACTAGCAACAATTAGTTTGTCTTCATTTTATACATCTGTCATTATTTATGAATATCTGGGCATCTGAGACAAATATAAAATGTTCGGGTAATAATAAATCTAGCACTGGTTGCGACTGTGTTCTCTCTCTCTCCCTCTCTCTCTCTCTTCTTCATGTAGATTCACAACCATGCATATTTTCTGCCTCTTCCTTTTTTCCGTACTGATTTTCCTCTATCTACTTCTGTCCATCATATTTTCTCTCCAATCTTGTAATCCCACGACATTTAAATGTTTTAAAACGTTAAAGTAGAATGGGGTGACTTTGATTCTATGAGGTGACTTTGATAGAACATGAATATTTTATTATTAAGAGAGTATGCAACCAAAATGTTTCATCCGTTATGGTAGTTGTCTGAACTTAATTTCAGTGCACATGTTGATTAACTGTAGCGGAAGGCGTTTGTGGTGAATATCAAAAATACACTCTTATAAATGCACTGTTGAAATTTTTGTTTTAATTTGAAGATTTTAGATTGTGTAACTAAATTTAAACATACAATTCTGACCACACAATTTCAGGTAATTTTGTGTATGTTGCCTTAATTTATGGTTAACTGTCAATATTTTAAAATATTTAACCTAAGTTATTTCCGTGACTACTTCATGAAATTACATGATATCTTCTCCGGGGTCACTTTGATACATTTTTCGGGGCGACTTTGATATTTTATTTCTTTTTATAGTTTTCTTAATCAAACTTCAAACCGTTGATTCATTTCAGGTTTTCATCATTATCTTTATGAAAAACCAAAATGCCGCGAGTTTATAAACGAAAGTTGTGATCAAGAAGCTACAAGAACTTCTCTGACGAAACTCTTGAACATGCTCTGCTTCAGATAGTAAACGGAAGCTTGTCTGTTAAAGCCGCTTAAGAAAGATTCAAAATTCCGTATGGTACTTTATATAATAAATACAAAGGGAAGCATGGGAAAAAACCAGGGGGTCAAGCGTTGTCGGCGCTGGAGGAAAAATCAATCGTGTCCCGCATTATCAAATGTGCCGATTGGGAATTTCCATTATCGACTTTAGATGTACAACTTTTCACTAAGAGTTATTTAGAAAGAACTCTAAGAACTATTTCTAAATTTAAAACCGGGGTAAGTCCTGGTAACGAATGGGTAATCCATTTTTTAGAGAGGCATAGTCAGTAAATCTCTGAACGACTTATGTCTAACATTATTAGAGCTCGGGCAGGTGTCACAAAAGAAACGATAGAATCATATTTCAATAATTTAAAAACAACTCTCTCAAATTACCAACGTTAGTGATGATCCGGAGAAAAGAAGATTGCTATATAGAAGAGGAACCAAATACCCAGAGCAAATCACTAATCATAATAAAGACGTCACATCAATAATGATGTGCAGTGCGGCTGATGGCACACTCCTCCCTCCTTATATAATATATCGCAGCGAACATATGTGGGATGCGTGGACATTAGGGGGTAAACAGGGCTCTCCTTGTTGTAGTAGTGGATGTTGCGCAAGAGGAGCTAGATATAACTGAACAAAAAATGGGTGGATAGAGTGCACAAGTGCACAATATTGAATTTGCGTGCCTTTCCAGTAATTCAACACACATATGCCAGCCTTTGGATGTATCTTTTGTTAAACCCATGAAAGTTTCTTGGCAAAAGATTTTGACGGAATTTAAATTGTGACACCCAAAGATTACTGGTGTACCTAAAGATCAATTTCCGTCGATATTAAAAAAATGCTTGGAATTAATGGAGCAGACAATTGCAAAAACTGAGCACAAACATGGAGACTGTGAAGAAAGTGCAAGTAAGAGAGTTTTGAAGACCGGCTTGTGCCAAATAAAGTCTTGAGTAAAATTGCACCAATCAACCATGATGTTGATTATGTAGAATCTCTGATTAACGACAGCCTCAAAGACTATTTGATGAATAAGAAGTCCGAGATAGAATTAACTAAACGTCGAAGTAAAAAAAACTTAATATCCAACCCGGTAAAAGTGTAAGTCGACATGTAACGGGGATGACAGCTCCACCGATAGCGAATTAAACAGCTATATTAGTGAAAGCGAAAATGAAATTGAAAATGTATATTTCTGATATGGTCGTTTTCCACAAGCATGAAAATATTACGTGAAATATTACTTATGGAACCTTTTGGGGCAAATTTGATATAGTCCCCGTTATACTACTCAGGGCTGACTATTTACGACATTTAAAGTTATAATTAAATTAGAAATTATAGAGCAACATAAGTGTATGAAAATAACAACTATAAAAAAATATGTATTAAAACATGTAATTCTCAACATAAAAACATGTTACGGTAACATGAAAAATTTTCTGCTGCCACATAAAAGTATCCAAAGCAACAACGAAGCTTTAAAATGTGACGTGAAAGGCAAGTAAACTGTAATTAGACCATTGCACAGTAAAAGCTTCCAAACAGCATCACAAGGTGGCAGCATACATAGCGTTTACGGTAGTGGTGGGTGTATAATTATCGAGTTAGAATCTAAAGATCGATTCAGACACATCAGTCACGTCTCGTCACAGTCCTGGCGCCGAACCGAACAATCCGTCATACAAAATATTCTTTAATAGAAATATGCCGCCGGCATTCACATTCATCAGTTGACGAATAGTTTGCCAGCTGTCAGATAGTTGATAGTTCTGTGACCAAACAGGACCGGTTCGGCGCCGAGACTGTGACGTGACTGATGTGTCTGAATCGACCTTAACTCGATGATATGATGCTAAATCAAAACGAGTAGGGTTGGTGCGAAATTCAAAAGCTTAAAATTATGCACCGTCCTAAAGTTATCTCTTTTTACGGCATTTAAAAATGAAAATACGGCACGGATAATTCGACCCAAAATAAAAAAATTCTTAAGGCTGATTTATCAACTTTACGTTGGCGTTGGCGTTGGCCGTTGACCTTGGCGCTGGCTATCATAGACTGCATTTATAAACTTTCGGTTGGCGTTGGCGTTAAAGATCACAACTAAGTTTCTAACCTTACATTTTTGATTTGGTATTATTAATTTTTGCTTGAAAATTAATACAATGGAAAATGCTCGGCCTTTGTTAGGTACAGTGACACTGATACTTTGTATTCGAGCAGCACTGAGCCTTCGAAATAAAAGACAACGTCGATACAAACGGAGGCCCATTAACCAGAACAGAAAGACAAGAGGTAATTTTAATAATTATAAAGATTATAAAGATACTGGGATGAATTAAGACCTATACTGGTCGTACCTTTTCTTATGTCCCAAATTCCACACATTTCATCACCTTAATCTCCTCCCTCACGGTCGATCCCCAAGACATTCTCGTCAGTTTCGACGTATCATCCCTATTTACCAATATCCCCATACATGACTCTCTAGTTGTTCTGCGAGATCACTTGACCAATGATAACAAGTCTTTGGTTTTGGCAGATCTTGCGGAAAAATGTCTCCTTTCAACATATTTTTCTTTTAGAGGCAATTTCTACAAACAAATATCTGGAACACCAATGGGTTCTCCCCTTTCCCCTGTCATTGCTGACATTTTCATGGAAGCCTTTGAGTCTTTGGCCCTAGAATCTTACCCCTTAAAACCAAAAGTCTGGTTCCGCTACGTTGATGATACATTTATCATCTGGCCCCATGGTCAACATACCCTTTCTCCCTTCCTAGATCATCTTAACTCACAACATTCGAGTATAAAATTCACAATGGAAGTAGAAAATAATCGGTCCCTTCCCTTTCTCGATGTATTAGTCACCTCCAAGCCCAATGGACGATTGGGTCACTCTGTTTATAGAAAAAGACTCACACGAATCGTTACCTACATGCTTCATCACACCACCATCCTGCCCAAAAGAATTCTGTGATCAACTCTCTCATCCATCGGGCCATTTCGATTTCTGAACCTGACAACCTTAGAGAAGAACTTGGCCATCTGCAAAAAACCCTTGTCGCCAACGGTTTCAAAATATTACACACCGACATCTACATCCCCCTTTACACCCTAGGACGACAAATTCAGAATCTTCGGGTAATACTCCTGTGGCTTTTCTTCCGTATATTCGAAGTGTCACTGATAGGATTGGCAAAATTCTTCGCAAAGAAGGTATCAGGACTACGTTTCGACCACCCAAGAAGATCTCACAATATCTACCCTCTCCTAAGGACCCATTACCGCCCCTATCTTCCTGTGGTGTCTATTCTATTCCTTGTTCATGTGGACATGTGTATATTGGCGAAACTGGTCGTTCCGTCAAAACTCGGATTCAAGAGCATCAAAGATGCATTCGATCAGGTCTTTTCTCCCATTCTGCAGTTGCAGAACACTGCCAAGAAACCGGCCATTCCATATTGTTCGAAAAAACCCATATTATTTCTAAGAGCCCATTCTTTTATTCCAGGAAAATCCGCGAATCTCTAGAGATCCGAAAAAATCCACATAATATCAATCGAGAGGAAGGATACTACTTGTCTCCCATCTGGAATCTCAATCTAGAGCCGCCGTCCGGTCCCGCTACCACGATGCAGCCACATGATTGGCCAGCGCGCGCTTCTTGACGTTCGCGCCACGGAGTGTGCCGATACGTTCCGACACGACAGGTCACCGCGACTATAAATAGAGCGGTAGCGGAGTAATCGTCGGATTCACTCCTCGCCTCTCGACGCGTTAGTGTTCTGAGCTGTTGGACGTGAATCCCTGTCCTGGCATTTGGTTTTCACCTCTGGCTGCGTTAAGTAGTTGAGTTACTGTGACCAAATGCCCATCTTGGTAGTTAGTATTCGCCTCTGGTTGCGCTGAGTAACTGAGTTACCGTTGCTAACTACCCATCTTCCTGTCTTTTGATTTCTTTCTTTGTTCTCCTGAAGAAGCTACATACAATTGTAGCGAAACGTCGAGATGAACCCACTTATGGGTCACTCACAAATGACACGGTCCAAACCCGGAAGACGAATAAACTATAATAAAGATACTGGGATACCCAGCAGATTTTTAAATATACCAAGATGCAGGTTTCAGTATTTGAAAAATAACTGCAAATGGTAAAACCAAAAATAAATGTAAACTATCGCTCTGATGGAATTTCTGTGAAAGAGAGGCTTGTTATTATCTAAACTCTTCAAATTTATAAACACGTGGAAACACAAACATAAACAAATAATTTAGTTTGATTTGTTTGACAAAACTTGTCACTTTTTCGGTATTGCTATTGGCTGCGATGACAAAGATACAGTTTTTTTATGTTCTGTGATCGTGACTACAACCACAGAAAGGTTGGTGTATTCTGTGCTACAATGGTCAACGGCAAAAGATAAAGTTGGTTCATCTTGAACGGAACCGAACACCAACGCCAACGGCGAACGATGTTTATAAATACACATACGAGTTTTCCATTTGACCATGTTGTAACGCGAACGTCAGCGCCAACGCCAATGTAAAGTTTATAAATCAGCCTTTAATGCTTTAATCAGAATAATTCCTATTGAGCATAAACAAAATCTTTACTAGGATTTACCAATTTTTACTTGTACTTCATACTAAATTTATCTCTACGTTCTGAGAACAAAAGTATACATGTATAATAAAAAAATAATCGGCATAAGGAACAAAATATTTGTTAAATAATTACAGATTTCGTTAAAGTTTTTTTAAGTGTCTTTACAATCTTCTACATCTAGTTTACATTAACTTCAACTTAAAAACCTACTCATTACCAATATTCTCTTGGAGTTTTCCGTAACGAGCTTCCAAACGCTTAAGCAGCTCTTCGTCTTCATCGTCAACTTCATCTTCGATATCATCATCTTCATATTCCTGTCCTTCATCTCGTTCGTCTCCCTCCTCCTCTTCCGACACTTCTTCATTTTCAAGTTCTTCTTCCTCCTGTTCATCTTCGTCGTCTTCATACTCGATTTCTCTATTAGTACTTTCAAGCTCATTACTAATAGGCCGGGTATATGCGGTTGCTAGTTCTTGATATTTAGCTTTAGCGGTGTTGGGCTCTACTGTTTCCTCTCCATCTTCTTCGTCGTCGTCTTCGTCGGAAAAGTCTAAATTGTAAATTATAAATAAATTTGAAATAAACTTTGATTAACGAAACTCAAACCAAAAAAGAATTATTACGAACAAAAGACCTTACAATATCTATATATACAATAGAAGAGTGTAGTGTATTGGTAACCATAACCTTAAAGTTAATGTTTCTTGATAATCTGTTATACTTATCAGGTTGGGCCGATTTGGACTAGTCCAATTGTGCCCCATTTCAAGAAAATGTATTGTGTGTTGAATATTATTATAAATGTAATTAGATTTAAACCAAAACTCATTGTTATAATGGAGCGTTAATATGATTGAGCATCATAGATTCAAAAAACTACTCAGTTATGCGCCAAACTTATATTTTTTGTTTTTTTACAGAATAGTGCGTAATTATAAAATGCAAAATATCCCAAATAAAGAAATCGCTATCATCATGGGTGATTTAAACTCAAAAATCGGTGTTACTATGGCTGACGAACATATACGAAATATTGTGGGTAGATATGGAATAGGTGAACGCAATTCAAGGGGAGACCGCCTTATCCAGTTCTGCGTTGACAATGACTTGACAATAATGAACTCTATGTATAGGCACCACCCCAGAAGATTGTACACTTGGATCTCACCTAACGGACGACACCGAAATCAGATCGATTACATAATGATTAAACATCGCTGGAAAACATCTATTAGCCAATGTAAAACACGACCTAGCGCTGACTGCGGCTCTGACCACCAACTTCTTGTTGCAACGCTAAAGCAAAAATTCAAAGCATGTGCTAGGATCCGAAACAAGAGGATATCAAAAATAAAAGATACACAACAATTTAAAATCCAATGTAATGAAAGATTCGAAAATATTTTACCAACTATCGTCACTCATGATTCCGAAAAGATTTGGTTATCTTTTAAAAATACCTTGATACAGACCTTGACTGACTGCGACGCACAGTCTAATGCCGTCTCAACCGGACCAAAAAAAGTGTGGATGTCTGCAGATACTTTTGACCTCGTTGAAGAACGTAGAAAACTTAAAATTGCTAGAATCGAGAACCCTCTCAGGAATTCCCAGTACCGACAGCTATCTAGAGCTATTCAGGCTGCTTGTAGACGAGACAAAAACAAGCATATAGAGAAAATCTGCAGAGAAATTCAACTACACACCGACACAAATAACACCAAAGAACTCTTTGATAAAGTCAGACAACTCACACGTAAATTCAACCAGAAATCTTGGTCTATCAAAGATGATGAAGGTAATGTACAGACGGATTTGGACAAGGTTATTGATGTTTGGAGGGCGTATTGTAAGTCTTTATACGCCAATACGGACCAGATGCCAGCGGACGCCCCGTTTGTACCTGACTGCCAGACCTCCACTTTCCATTCTCCTTCAACAGAGACACACCACACTAGTTTTGAGTCTGAACCTGACATACTTTTTTCCGAGGTGGAATTCGCTTTAAAAAGACAAACAAAGTTAAACAAAGCAGCAGGATATGATCTCATTACAGCAGACGTCTTGAAGCATCTTCCGGAATGTGGAGTGAAAATATTACATCGATTGTGCAATGAAATATGGCACACAGGCGTCTGGCCTGAGGATTGGAGAAAGACCATAATCATACCTCTTCATAAGAAAGGTTCAACAAATAATTGTAACAACTACAGGCTATTAGCTCTAATATCACACGCCAGTAAGGTGATCCTCTACATACTGCATCTAGAAAACGGCGTCTAGAAAACTTCATAAGTTGGCAAATAGCACCTGAGCAGGCTGGATTTGTAAAGGGCAGAGGTACTAGAGAACAAATCCTTAATGTACGAAACATCATAGAAAAAGCCAGAGAATACCAGATCCCGATATGTATATGTTTCGTCGATTATACAAAGGCCTTTGATAATGTTAGATGGGACAAACTATGGAACATATTGACGACAATGGGTGTACCTAAACACTTGACTCACCTTATTAGCAAACTGTATCAAGATAACCTGGCATATATTCGAATGGGCGGATATCTGTCTGACAAATGCACTTTGGAGAAGGGAGTACGCCAAGGATGCGTTTTATCTCCCTTATTATTTAACATCTATTCGGAGTTCATAATGCGCAGAGTTTTGGATGGTTGGGAGGGAGGAGTAAACCTAGGTGGTGTTAAGATATCTAACTTGCGTTTCGCAGACGACACTACACTTCTAGCCTCTACTCCAGAAGAAATTACTAGATTATTAAAAAAACTCGAGGTAGAAAGTGCTAAATTTGGACTCATGGTTAACTACAACAAAACCAAAATCATGGTTATTGATCGCCAACAACAGTTTCCTGAAACCCAAACTATTGCGGGATGCGAGGTAGTCTCATCTATGATATATCTTGGAGCTCTAGTTAACAACACAGGCAGTTGTGAATCCGAAATTAGAAGACGCATTCAACTAGCAAGAGCAGCAATGAGTGAACTAAACGGGGTCTGGCGTGATCGTCACATTACTATGACAAACAAAAAGAGACTCGTTTCAACTCGCCGTACAAATATCTCGGTTCTGGATGAAATTAAACCGGATCAGCGTCTCTCCAGTACCGTTTACTCTAGAATTTTAAAGTTCTTTGGCCATATCCATCGAAGTGATCACAAAATGGAGCGGTTGGTGGTCCAAGGAAGGCCTCAGACTCAACGCCAACGCGGAAGATCTCCACAACGATGGGCGGACATTACTAAAAAGCTTCTTAATAAACAGTATACTGAGGCAATACATATAACTGATGACCGCGACCAGTGGAGAAATATTATCAATCAAACTGTTCGAGCTGCTGAAGCCCAATTATGAACCACAACACATCTACTAAGATGTTAATGACTGTGATGATGATGATGCGTAATTATAAACGCAAAACATATCGAGCCAACATTTCAACAGAAGATTTGGATAGTGCCATAAATGAAGTAATCGTCCAATAATTCGAAGTGCAGCAACAATGTTCAATATAAACAAATCTACGCTTCACTTCCATGTCAAGAAAAAGAGGTCAGCCAATGAGTTAGATTCAGGAAATGAAAGTGATAACTTCGTTAGTGCAGAATCGCTCTCGACTTCAAAATATTCAACTCGTCAAGTTTTTACTGCTGGTGAAGAAGTAGAGCTAGAAGCCTATCTACATAAATCTTCATCAATGAATTTTGGATTTACCTACAAGAATATTAGCATTCAATATGGAAAGAAACTGAATAAGAAATATCCAGCTACTTGGGACGAAAATCAGACGTCAGGAATCGAATGGATGTTTGATTGGTTTATTCGCAGTTTCGTCGATAAATATTCAAAGACAATAGATACAACTATTGACTTGTACATTATCTGTCATAAATTATTAAAATATCTTGAAAATACTTCCCTACTGAAAAATAATGTCCAAATCTACCCCACCCGACTAGTAGCGAGCTTGGATTTTTGTCTACTATAAACTCTGGTAACTTTTATAAATTTTATAAAATAATAATTCTTTTTTAATTGACTTATTTTCGTTTTGTTAGTTTTATTATTTGTTAGAAAATCTGTGAAATTTAGTACTGTTACAACAAAAGATACCCTTACCGTTAAAATAACAAAAAAACAAAAGAATCAAGAATGTCATACAGAGGAGAAATTCACAATTAATGGGACTAGATGAATAAAAAGATGACAATAATTAGTAAGAAATGAATATTTTTAAGTTAATCTGTTGTTTTGATTCGATTTCGGTTCGATTCAGTTGAAAACAGTCCAGGTACAAAATTATAATTACCTAAACGCAAACTAAGTAATTAAATGAAATAATTACGGTGAGAATCCGATAGTGATTAGAATAATGGTGCAGATATAGAAGGAATCACAAAAAAAAACAATGAAAAACACAAAGAAAATACGCAGAACACATATACAGTTACATATTTTTTTATCAGAATGAAAAATATATCTCGAATCACATTAAAAGCGATTAATTGTTAAAACAATTGTCGAAACATAAATTTCTTATAGTTTAATACAAAAATAATCGACAGATGGAATATAAACATTAATTCTTTCCAAGTGTTCATGTTTAACATCTAAGGAAAATGCAAGACGCATAAAACAACTGGATATTTGTAAATATATTTAAATATTATACTTAATATCACTAATATGATTTAAATATTACTTGATTCGGGCAAGTTGGAACTCAGAAGATGGTGGTATAACTGTGGATTGATCTACATCGAAGCTGATAATTCCGTGGCTCTCGGGTAATATCTCGAATTTTTCCCCGAAATAAGTTAAAAATATGAAAATAAAGTAAATTTTCTGCTGTTCATTTGGATAAAGGAATATATCTACAGTCTAAATAATTCCATTAGATTTTGATATGTGAAAAGGGAGTTATTGAACAAAATCAACGTTTACAATGGAGTAAATAGGAATAATTCCAGATATGCTTTAGTTTCGGGTAAATAAATTCGGGTAAAATGTTAGATTAGTAGATCATTCTCTTTACCTGAATCATATATGAACCAAGAATGCAAGAATTACGTTTGGGTAAATTACTGGGTAAATACTTGGGTAAATTACGTTTCCTGGAATCAGATGCACAAAATTTACTAATTATGATTAGAGTAAAAGGAGATATTTAGACATAATTTCATTTACCCAAATTTAATCAGTATAAAGTGTTTAAATATATGTGAAAAAACGAATATATCACGGCTTATGTTCATTGTGATGAACTCTGAGGAAAAAATGAATCGCAAAAGAAAAAAAAAGAATTAGCTTGAAAGGTAAAGCTAAAAAAATCCGCAGTGAAAGAAAAAGGAAACGGAATGCTGCTGTACTCCAATATCAAACAGAGAAAGGAAAGAGGACACAAACATTAAGAAAAACAACAGGGACACAAATTTGCCAAGTTGTACTTGACATCGTCCTAATAGCGTGAGGCAGGTGTATGACAGCGGGATAAATCCTGGAACAGCGGGATAAATCCTGGAACGAAACTCCTTCGCCACCATCAGCTTTATTATCCCTAGTATAATTGAGCATCCTAGTTTATAAAATAAGATAAGGGTAAGACTTCAAAATGGCTGCACAAGGAACAAGAAGACTAAAGATACTTTAAGTTACAGATATATGCCCTCGAGATTGGAGCAGACCTACGAATGGTTCCCGATCCAAACAAAAACATTACTAAAAACAAAGGCTGGATAACTGATAAAAACGCAGATGTTGCTATATCATCATCATCATAGTACCACCACTAGGAGAAATCTCAATGTTAAAATATTTCTTGGAAAAAATACAAAAAAGATTCTACACTGGACTCCACAAGAAATACAATAAAAAATTTGGTTATGGTAAGTGTGTCAATAGCCGAAACTTTCATCATCATCATCCTTGGCTCGACAATCCTCTGTAGATCTTGGCCTGCTCTAAGATTCGTCGCCATTCTGTTCAGTTTTTGGCAACATGTTGCCATCTTCTGATTTTTAATATTCGTAAGTCGGTTTCTACTCCATCTAACCACCTAATTCGCGGTCGGCCTTTGCTTCTTTTTCCTACAGGTGTTCCTGTGGTTAGCTTTTTAGCAATGGTATTTTCTGGCATTCGTATTATGTGTCCAGCCCATCTAAAGTCGCTGTGTTTTAATGAACGTTATAACTTTACAGAGTAATAATCCCAAACCTCTACGTATCGACGATCACAATAAATTAATAACAGACTCGGTTAGAAATGCACAACTCAAATTTTGCAAAAAAAAAATGACACCAAAAGTGAAAAGATTAGCAAAAATACAAAAGCTCCCATGGAAATACGACAAACCTAAGCCAGAACGAAAAGGTAAACAAAGAAGGATATAAAAAACTAGATAAAAGAATTTCAGCGGAAATTAGAAAAGATGTAAGAAGATATAATACTAATGTAATTACTCAAACAGTAGAAGAGAACAAAGGTTTAAAGATAATGAAAAGAAAACTCACACAAAGTAAAAAAGAAATATACAAGCTGAGAGATAAAGACGGAAAGGCAACAACAGATAAACAAAACATTCTGAAAATAACCAGAGAGTTTTATAAAGACCTCTGTACCAGCCAAAAACCACAAGACAATTTCCCGACACGAGTAAAGACTCTCATAAATCAGAGATCGGAAATACTTTTACTCATTACTGTGTCAGAAGTAAGAGCAGCTTTAAAGGAAATTAAGAACCATCGATCGCCTGGTGATGATGGACTATTTGAATTTTTTCAACAAAAAATGCAAATAACTAAATAAATAAATAAAATAAAAAATAAATAATACATTTCATCTTGGAAAAATATATAGAATCGAATAAAAAAGGTTTGGTGCATTAGAAATGCAAAAAGAATTTTAGTCGGTTGATGCTCTGTTTATAGGGGTAAACCGCTCGCCTATAAGGAGTATGAATATTTTATATTCGATGTAATATACAGCGTGGCTTAAATACCAGAAAATAATAAAAATTTATTTGTATTTAAAAAAAAATATAGTTATTAATGCACAAAACATCCCACTTTGTGTATTAAAAAAGTATTTATCGAAATATCCAGTTGTTTTAATTAATCCTAGATCATACAATAGCTAGTAAGAGTGGGTATGTGGGATTTAGAGGTACTTTCAATCACAAAACTTTAGGAAAGGAAAGTTATTTTCATAAAATACCTTCTTCAACGTGTTCTATATCTGGTTCTACTTCTTTGAAAGCCGGAGGGACGATTATAGTGTTCCTTCTGTCTTGTATGATTGGAGGAGCCTTTTCAGCTGGCAGGATTTCATCCTCAGCTACTTAAAAATGATTATTCGACCATTTATGGAGTACAGTTTATTATTGATCACAACAGTTTAGGCATATTTTAGAGCTAACATTCCCGTCTGTAGAAGTAACGACTTTGATTTGCAATATTTCTTTTTAATACAGTGGTATATTTCTCATTAAACTTATTACGGGAAAACCTTGGGACAAATATTAAATAGCAAACATGATAAATACAGTAAAAATTAGTACCCCGTGAAAATAAAAGCCAAAGTCGACCACGGCTAAAGTTTGTTAATGGATCTAGCGTTTAACGTCCATGCTTACCTTGCGTACAACAGAATAAGCCAAACGTAACACTTAAGCATCTTGTGTCTTAAGATGAAATCCAATCTGCGATCCGTCAAAAATTACGAAGTTCCAGGAAAAGATTTCTAATTTGTTCTACTCTGTTCTTTATTTTAGTCTCAGTGTCAAAACTATGATTTAGCAGACAACTAAACTATTTAAACTGTTTGATTTGCTGAATTTATTCTCCAGCTACTTATATCTTCGTATTTGGGAATTATTTCTAAATATTATCATAAATTTCGTCTTCTTGATATTTATTTTCAAACCTAGCTTTAAAACAAAGCTTCAATTTCGAGAGTTAGATCATTTAGAAGACATTGAAGATCATATATGTTACCTATCAGTAGCGCAGTATCGTCTACATACTTAATGTTGTTAATACATTCGCCGTTCACTTTAATACCATTAACATTTGGGCAGCCATTGCGTCTGTGAATAGTCTCTCGACGTTTTGAACAACATTGAAGAAAGTATACACCCTTATATTAGTCTCTTTCTTATTGAAATCTCCCATTTCGTTGTGTTTTGAAGATGTAGGTTTGAGAATAAGTCATATCCTTAGCATCCAATACCAATTCTTGAAAATATAGTATCATTAGTTCGTGTTTTACGCTATTGAATGATTCTCAAGTGAGAAAACAGAAAAACATTCTTTCTTTCATTAATACAATCCTGTACTATTGTTGAATCCAAATTAACTTTAGAATAACTCCTCTACATTTCTTAAATAATCTTTTGTGTAATATATTTAAGTAAACTTTCAAAATATGGCTTATTTAGCTGATTCGCAGATATCCTTTGCAAAATTTTCCATGTGTAATTTTGTGTGGGGTTAAAAAAGTAGAGCGAAGCCAATCTTTTGGAATTCGTCCCGTGTTAGGATAGTCACAGCTGAAAAGCTTAACGATAATATCTAGGTTTTTTCATTAAATAACTGGATTAGTTTGGCATATATATGATATGGGCCTGGAGATTTTTATGTTTTAATAGTTTGACAGCGTGCAGAATGTGAGGATAGCCGATGCAAATGTGAAAAAACCAAAAAAGTCAATGGGTTGATCATGAATTAAGAAAATCAACATCAACTATTGGTAAACAGGTTCTGTATTACAAGGCTATCGAAAAAAGAAGAAATGGTAGACCAACACAGATACATACACACAAAATGAATAAAAAAAAGAGACAGAACCAAAAGAGAATGGAAAAATCTCAGTAACAAGATCGACCGGAAGTGAACAAATGGTGCATGAGATTAGAACTTAGCTGCACTGGGAACTGTATATGATATATTATGGTATGCATAAAAGTAAGTAAATAAGTAACTGTTGCAGTTAAAACAAATATGTGAATTAGGATATAGTTTTGTTTAAAAAATTTTTTTGCTAATAGTTGAATCAAATCATAATTGCCGTTGCTTCTACAGGGGGAATGTATGCAAAAATTACAGTTAAAATACACAAAACACATAATCATCTATTACAAAAGCAAAATACTTACCAGGAAATGCAATGGTGTTAGTGGCAATGAATATGAAGCAAAGGCGTAGAATAAAAAAACTATTTCGACAACCTTCAAAGATATAGACTAATTTATACAAACAAAAAAATCGAAAGACTCATTTTGTATGATTGAGTGTTTTATTCCAAAATTTACTAAATTACTACTCTCAATATGATTTTCTTCATACTATTAATACATTTTAAAAAATATTGTGTCTTTTACGTGAACTTACCTTCCCAAATTATTATTATGTAAGAAGCTATAGACAGCTCCAGGTTTTACACCTTACAAAAACTTGGTGAGGCAGACACCAAATACTGTTTAGCTATTATATAAACTATAATAGGTTACAAACTGTGGTGTATGACAAAACAAAGTTCAATACCGAAAGAGTAATACAACTATACACAATTCCATCCCACACAACATAAATTGGCAGCCTAACCAAACGTGTTACCCATGTCAAAAAACAACTTCTAGATATGATTCAATATCATTAGGCAAATAGCTGTAAACAATGGGTACAACAAACCAGCAATAAAAACAATTTTAAAACAAAAACTACATAAGAATCTCCTGAAATTATTATTTCCATCACCAGAGAAAAAACACAGTACCTTCTGCTCGATTACATGTAAGGTAAGGTATCAACAAAAATAGCCAAATACATAAAAAGAAAGAAATAACACTAGCTTTCAGAAAAAACAACAACTTAAGCAAATATATTAAATACCACAAGAGCCAAAAGAAAAAGCACTTACACAGTAGTGTATACAAACTTAAATGTGTCGACTGCCCAAAAACTTACATTGGTCAAACTTTTAGAACTTTTAACAAACGTATAGCAGAACACAAAAGGGCTTGCAATAATAGAAAAATAGATTCTACTTATACTTCTAGTTATCTATATTATCAATATATTCGGCTGAAGATATGACAGTAATATTCACAGATTCCTTAAGTGCAATCCAGGGAATTCAAAAAATATATCCGAGTCATCCAATTTTAGAACAGATTTAAAAATTCCGTGTGACTCTACAAAATAATCATAAACAACTACATATTGTGTGGATACCATCTCATCTGGAGATACCAGGAAATGATATAGCTGATCAATTGGCCAAAGAACCTTGTAAAATGGAGAAATCCGATGATAAAACTAAGCAAATTCCTCACTCAGATATGAAAAAATGCATCAATGAGTACACAAAAACTTATGGTTACGAAGATGGCAACTCGTACCAAATAATAAATTGCGGCAAGCAAACCCAGATCTATAAGCGAAAACACCAATTTTAGTAAAGCGAAGGGACCAGGTGTACTACATCGTATCCGAATAGAACATACAAGACTAGCGCAAAAACACCTACTAAGAAGGGAACCTCCTAGAATATGCTACGCCTGTGACACCAATATAACTGTAGGCCACATTTTTATAGACTGTCTATTATATCAAATGGAAAGACAAGCTGCTGGACTACTAAGTAATGTAAAGTGCGCCTTTGACAGTGCGAATTGTGACAAAATCATTAGGTTTTTAAAGAAAACGAAATTCTACAATCAAATATAAGTAATACTTCAAGAAAAATTCTAAATTATAATCAACTTTGTAAAAACTTTATAGTTTATATTTTATATTAATCATTATAATAACTTATAGTCTAAATTATACCACCGCTAATAACCTTCTATGGTTGATGCGGCTTATTCCCAATAAAAAAAATCGGCCAGTGTATTGAGAAACCTTAGCTGTGGTATAATTTTTGTGGTGCATTTATTAATAAACGTTACAGTACGACCAGGATAGCATTAGACGTGAACTGCGCGTTAACCGTTGTAGGGCTGCAGAATTCATTTGTGGGTGTAAAACAAAATACCGAATTATGTCCTACGTCACAACATAACCAGCATAAACCCAATCTTACATTACACCCACAAATGAATTCTACAGCCCTACAACGCTTAACGCGCAGTTCACGTCTATTGCTATCCTGGTCGTACTGTAAAAGAGATAAAAATTTTAGCGGAACAAATTGTCAATAACTTTTGCAAAAATGATAATGCAACTTTCATTTTTACGTCAATAAAATTTCAAAACGTTTCATTAAATAGTTTTTAAACAATTAAATTTGTTTATCTCAGATTTGCGAGAATTAAGAATTTTTGCAAAGCTATAAGGCAGAAAATAATAAAATTGGAAAAAGTCTACGACACTTAAATGAAAGAAGAAGAGTTGTTTTATCAAATAGGATCGTGGGAACAACGTAAAATGAATTTTGATTAATTATATTTCGTTGTGAAATTTGAGTAATTTTAAACTAATAAATAAATTGACTAACTTTTTTTTCGCGGTACAGAGCTTCAATTTGATTCAAAAAGATTGTATTTTTACACGAATTTTAAAAGTTGTCTTACGACCCGTTGGGACGTAGGTAGTTTTTTTTACAAAAGAAATTTTTACTAAGAAGAGAATATTTGTGTACAAAACCTATATACCATCATTAACTTGTAATAATTATTCATTAAAAAAAACTAATAAACTCCTTTATAAAAGGTACATAATGTAAAACTCAATCGGGCTATATCACAATAACAAAACGTTTTCGGAATCCATGTTCCATCATCAGTGTCCTTAAAAGCATATAGCCACTTTAATTAAAAAGAACGTGGAATTTAAATGTTGTCCGAGGTTAATACAACATGTGGTTGATACTTACTAGGTGTATATGTATTCAGCCACTAAATATCTGCGTAAAAACCCGTTAAAAGTTATATGTTTAAATTTAGTTTACATAATTTGATTTTATATATTAAGATGTTAAAGTTACCAGTGGATTTGGTAACATAGCAACGTACGACTTCACATGAAGTTGCTGGTCCTGAGACATAGTGTCTACGAGGTCTTGATGATAGCAACTGATTGAAATGACAATCTTGACATGTTAGGACGGAAGTCCGAACAAAGCAGTGAGTGTAACTTAATGTGTTACTCTACTTAAGACAGAAGCAGCGCTATTTAAAAATTGAATAAGTTAAAATTAAAATAAAAATAATATAACAGTAGTAACCATCAATGTTGTAGTTTTAAATTTGTAAATTTGTCCTGAATTTATGTTAAGAGCACGGAGAAAATTGTTTCATTGATTAATGTATGTGGAATAAATTGTGGTGAAAAATTAGGCAGCCAACTTTACATAAGTCTAAAAGTGGTGTAAAATAAAGATTCTAATAATAGGCCCTTTATGTTATTCAACATTTGGTACCTGGAAAATGGAAATTAGACATATGTGGGAAGTTGGATTCTTGAAACTTTATTGATAATGGGTGAAATAGGTATTAATATATTTTATATTTGAAATTACTATTAAGTAAATAAAATAACATGCTTTTGTAATGAAGTAAATTTAAGTAAAAAAGAAAATTGTGATGTTATAAAAGTTGTGAGAACAGGAAAGACTCTACAATAGGCTGAGGTCTCCAGAGATCCGAAACCAAACCCTGAGTGAACTATGTGGATAAGTAAAATAAGAACTGAATAGTTTAGGAGGAGGATGACGAATAATCTGCTCTGAATTTAGAGGTGTCGAGAAGAAGCATGGAAAACATTAGGTATAGCGGTCAGACTTGGAGTTTAGGTTGAATAGAAAGAAGTAGGGAAAGATATAGAGTTTGATGTATTGACAGAGAGGTTTTGGAGGGAACTAAGGAAGATTAATAGTTGACAAACGAATAATGATAAATGTAAATTTTGTCGTCATCCCCCTCCTAAACTATTCAGATCCTATTTTACTTATCTACATAGCTCCCTCAGGGTTTGGTTTCGGATCTCTGGAGACCTCAGCCTCTTAGAGTGTTTGCAGTTCAAATTTCTTATGGTTAAATATTTTTGCTTATATTATTATTGCGTAAATATTTATTTAATATTAATTAATTTGTAATTTACATTTGTAATTTTATTTTAGTATTGAGCAGTACTTTTATTGTAGATAGAAAAATCTATGTAATTTTCAGGATAAAACACATCAATCATTAAAAATATCGGATAATGAGCAAATATTAACCTGTCATAATTTGTTTAGCATATTAAAATAGCTCAATTTCTAATAAAATCGAACAACCTGTCAGTAATAGTAATTCTACTGGTTTCACAAGTTAACAAATGAAGTAAAAATGCAAATTATTTAATGCAGTGTTTTAAAATATGTGTAGAGTCTACAGCTTTTAAGGTTTCCTATAAACTAAAAACAGAATTACACCGACATGCATTTTACTAACCGTTTCTCCATTTTTTAATCAATACGAGGTGTGCGACCACAAGAAGAGCTACCCCAACACCAATTTTCACGGCCACTATAAAATAGATTATCCAAATAAATTGCATTTCCTGATTTACAGTTTAGAATTATACTAAATGAATCAATACGCGAGTTAAATAATGTTCTCAGAATGTATCAATGATTATTTGGCCATTTTTCAAATTTTTCATTTACATTTTTCCATTTATACTTTAAAGTAACTTTGGTGATTGTTCAACCGTACAACTAAAACTGAAACTAATATATACTTACTGCCAGAACTGTCCAATGCGCCTTCGCTGTCTTTTTCTTCTCCTTCAGCTTCTGCTTTCTGCTTTTGCTCTGCTTTTTTCTAAAAAAGAAGGTACAACACCACTATTTAACATTCTAAAATGTACTATTTTAGAAGTAAGTAAAACTAAAATGTATGTACGTATTTTCCAGTTTTTTGGCGTGCCAACGTCATCCGATAGGGATCAATGCAATGAGCTGTATGTTCCCAGTTCACTGTACTACTGATATCGGCACATATATGTATATATAAAATTCCTAGTTCATTTACTTGCATCGAATGGAGTTTTTACATATTTGCAGTGAGACCTAAGATCTACTGGATTAATTTATAAGCAAAAGAGTATCTAGAAACAACTGTTTCTAGATACTGAGTTAAGTTATCGGATTGCTGTTCTTGTTTGTCCTAATCTTTGCGTAATTTCTTCCTCTGTTGTTGCCTTTTTCGTTCTTATAAACCAAGTATTTGAATTTATATTTTCCTTTGATTGTCACGTTGTCAACAATATGTAGATCTTCTATGTCTTCTTCATAGAAGAACATCTCCAAACAAAAAAAAAGAAGAAGAACTCGACTTAAAGTTCCGCCAAATGTACTGGCTCCTAGGGTCCTAGGATCCAAAAATTTCGGTCTAAAGTGTTAAGATCGATATTAAACGTTCCCATTCACCAGAGACAAAATTCAGCGAGCTGCAAAGACACAACCTAAGTGTTTTTCTACACCAAGTAAGCGAACTAGTTAGGGAACTATACAACAATGGTCCAAATACAATAAGACTAGAAATAACTTGGCTCCGAGAACTACTTCAAGTCTACAGCCATCGCTAAATAAGGTGAAAAATTACTGGATATCTTTTCTTTACGTGTTAAACCATTTATTTAATACTACATAATGATGAAGAACAACAACAATTATACACATAAAATAAAAAAAGTAAATCATCCTTAACAGATGATAAACCTGAAGAAATAACGAAAGCATTAGGAGAGACAGAAACAAATTGGCTTGTTTTTAAAGCTAAGGGCATTTTGTTGTCCTGGGTTTGACATATCAGCACCGAAGGCGCAGATGAACCAAGGATTTGGTTACTAGCATAAGGATTAAGAAAATGGGAAATCACCTGATTATATTTCCTTGATCATACAGCCATGAAAACAGTCTGTTAGCTCTCAGAAAAATTAAGAAAGAAAGAAACGTTGGGACAAATGTCTGATGAATAAAGGAGCAGCATTTTAGTACCTCTGTAAAAAATAAATGCGATGTTCATGAAAAAATGTAGAGATAAAAAATAAAATTTCAAAAAATTCTTACCGGTTTCTTCACTTCTTTGGTACTCTCAGCAGCGTCAACGTTATCATCAGTTCCAGCATCTTCATCTTGTTCAGTTTCTTTTGCTTCATCTATATCAGCGGTGTCGTCGTTTTCATTACTAGCTTGATCTTCATCCTCTTGATCTTCTCCGTCACCATCTTTATCATCGAGATCCTGAACTTCGTCATCATTGTTATCATCGTCATCATTATCAGCTCCCTCGTCATCATCATCGGCATCATTACTTAACTTCTCCTCAGAAATGTCTCTTTTCTCTCGACTAGCTTTAATATCATCCTCCTCGTCTTCATCTTCTTCATCTTCTTGATCCCTTTGGTTAACTTCCTCAGTGTCACCATCATCTACTTCCTCAGTTTCTGCTTGATCATCATCTTCTTCATGATCTTGATCATCATCTTCATTTAAAATATATTCATCTTCTTTGGAAGCAATATCTTCATTTTCTTCTTCATCTTCTTCGTAATTGCTTTGTTCATCATCATCATTATCATCTACTTCATCATCTTGATCTACATCATCTTCATTCTGTTCGTCTTCATCCTCAATATGTTCTTCGTGATCTTCTTCTTCACTTTCCTCTACTTCTTCTGATCCTTCATCGTGTCCGTCATCGTCATCATCATGTTCATCTTCATCTTCCTCGTCGTGTTCGTCATGATCTTCATCGTGATCATCATCCTCAATTGATTCTATAGCGTGATCGTCGTGATCATCATGACTGTTAGTATCGACCCATCCTTCAAATATCTGGGAAAACTTAGAATTCGAATCTGTCGTGTCAACTGAAAAGAATATAAATAAGTATATAAATGTATGTTCGAGTTGTGTATGTTTTTTAAGGAATATTTTAATATTTAATACAAACAATGATGGCAAAACATTATTTCCACTCACAATAGGTTATTTGTAATTGTAATAAGATCGAATAAAATAAATTGCCAAGTATTTTATTAGGAGATAGAAAAGAATCTGATAATAGTTTTATTTATAGCAGAATTTAAAATAAAATAATTACCCGTACTTAAGAAAACTCTTTCTTTTTCGTAAACATTTGAACGAACAATGATCAAAGTAAATGCAGAAAAACCAATGACGATTTAAAAGAAACATAATAAGAAGATTTTTCGCCTATAACCACAACTGAGTATAGAATAAAAACGAATATAGGTAACTTTATCATGATAATAGAGAGAGGTCAGAAAAGGAGATTCTATCTCACCCAAGCTATTTACTTTAGCTCTAGAAGAAATGTTTCAAACTTTAGAATGGAGAAATAAAGGGGTGACGATAGATGGTGAAACCTGAGTCACATGAGATTGACCGAAGATGCTGCCTTAATAGCAAAAGACAGAGAAACAATAGCTAAATACAAAATGAAAAGAATTAGCACTTAAAATAAATCTAGCAAAAACTAAATATCTAACAAACGAAACTCTAGATATAACTAAGGATATAACTCTGTACAATAATAATATAGTCATATATATCCTTAGGACAAAAAATTCGAATTAACAAAGCTTAACTTGAAGGCTAAGCTTAATAGATGTTCCTTAGTATGGGCAGTATTCGAAAGATTACAAACAGTATTTAAATCAAACTTACCAAATACTTTAAAGGCAAAAACTTTAAATCAGTATGTGCTGCCGAAATCACATACTGATCCTACCGTCCAGTATCGTTAGGATGTGCAATGAGCAAAGTGCTCGAACAATTAATTAACCAATGTCTTATTTGGATACTCGAGCAAAGATCTGTTTTATCTAACAAACAAATTGGATTTCGTAAAGATAGATCAACTCTAGACAACTTAGTTGACATCGAGTTTGAAATACATGAAGCGCTAACAAATAATCAAAGCTGCATAGCGGTATTTTTTCATATAACCAGAGCATTTGATACAGTTTGGCGCCATGGAATAACTAAAACTTTACAGACATTAGGTATACATGGAAATATGCTAAACTTCATTATTAACTTTTTAAAAAACCGAAGCTTAAAAGTAAAAGTAGATGATTTCATTTCTAAAACAAGAATACAGGAAACTGGAACCCCTCAAGGATCATCGGTTAGTGTTACTCTTTTTCTTATTGCTATTAACAGTATTTTGTAAAACGATTCTCCACCAGTAAAGAATAGGCTATACGCAGATGATCTTAATTAACTAATTAAACAAACCTTACAAGATACTATTTCTGCATTAGAAAAATTGTCAATGAAATCTGGAATAAAATTTGGTTCTAACAAAAGTAAATGTATCCATTTCACTAGAAAATACAATGTTAGTAGTCCAGAACTTACAATCTTTAATACAAAAATAGAATATCTTGATTGTATCAAATTCCTTGGAATTAATTCTGCTGTAAAAATAGCCTTAGGAGCTTTTTGTATCACACCTACAGATAGCTTACTAGGTTTGGTAGGAGAAATGCCTCTGGAATTAAGAAGACAATATCTTAGTCTAGCCTATGCTGCAAACGTTTCAGCAAATAGTGAAAATCCCGTCAGAAACAATGTCTTTTCTTCTCGTTTCCACACAACTTATCTTAACAAAAAATGATCTAAACCCCCTTTTTATGAAAGATTTAATAAAAACATGACCAACAATAATATTGTCTTCCCTAAAATATACCAAACTACCCTTTTAACCACTCCTCCTTGGATGGTCAGAAAACTCTTCCTAGACTTGAGTTTAACAAAGACTAGTAATCGACTTAATGCTTCCTCTATGGTTAAACAATTTTACAGTAAGATTGATGAGTACCAGAATTACCAACATATTTATTGGGATGTGCCCTCATACACAACGACTACACTGCTTCATACAAAATCTCAAATTTTAGCACAGTATATACAGGAGAACTATTCGCAATCTACAAAGCATTAGAATATGGACTGAACGCCAACTGTCGCCAAATGACTAGCTTAGGCACCATTTACCCAACTCATCCATTGTTACGATTGATAAAGAACCATTTGTACCAACTTCAGCAAAAGAATGCCATTGTAAAATTTATGTGGATTCCGTCACATATAGGTATACATGGTAATGAAAGAGTAGAGGCTGCCGCCAAATCTTCAGTTAACAACGAAGACTTGATAAAACCTACCTATAAGAAAGATTTTTATCACTAGATTAACTCGACATTGAAAGAACGGTGGCTTCAAGAATAGAATCAATCTCAACAAAAACTACGAGACATAAAAACAACAGTTACAAGATGGAAGAATATGTGTAGCCACAGGAAAGACCAAATTCTAATAAACAGTATTGTAAATAAAAAAAAGATAGGTACTAATAATTTTCTTAAAGGAGTTTGTAAATTTAAATAATTATTTTTTTTTATTCTTTGTATTAGAATTTCTAATGATTTTATAGAAAGTTAGAATTTCATTTAAAAATATAAAGACGAATACTTACGATCAGTGAGTCCTCTATGTTCAGTTATAATAAGACCGATAAGTACAGCTAGCGCCGAAAACAAAATAAAAAATACAAGTTTTGCACATATTCCTCCCCCTGTACCTTCCTCCTTGTGGACGTGAATCTTTAGGTCTTCGTTGACGACTGTATTATTAGTGAAAACAGGAACATGCGGTTTTTCTGGAATTAGATCTCCATCTTCTAAAAAATTAAAAATGCTTTACATAATTTCGTATAGCAATATAAATAGATTTTCGCCGCCGTCTACGTAGCTAAAAATAAATGAAAATTGTTAATGAAATACCTTTTCTTTTTTTCTTGTCTTTTCTCTTCCTGGGTTGTACGTCTCCCGACATGGTGTAGACGGGGTTAGGGTAAATGTATCACCACCATACAAAATCTCCTTTTTTATTTGGAAAATGTATTTTTAACGACTTTTGACAGATCGCGCATCACGATCTTGATTTCACTCGAAGTGCACACTTCTCAACGAGACAATCCGAAAGTGAACGAGTAGACTGGACTATATTCTGTAAAGACGAATTATGTTAATTTTAACAGTTAACAATGAAAAATTCTAAGGTTCATTGTGGGTGGCCAGTAGATCAAATTATTCAAATATGTTTTATATTTGCTTTTTAAATCAAGTAAATGCATACACTACAATAACTCTCATACATATATTTTTATTTTAAAATCTTTAAACAGCGAAATCATCATTTTCCAAGATACTTGACGTTAAAAATAGCGTGGCTTACTAAAATGATTTTAATAAATCGTTCAATTTGTATAAACTTTTCACCAGAGTTACTACATTGAGACTTGCAAAAAATTTTTTTCTTCTACAAATCACAAGAATAGGCTGGATTTTGTATAAAGTATAGAAGAAATTATTTACAATGTCTAGGATAAGGTAGTGATTGGGATATCTTAGAGCAGGCGTCGACAAGTAAGTTTGAATACGGCCGGTTTGCGCTTGACCGTTTTGAGCCCTTACCTGAAATCGACCGGTTTGCGCTTTGCAATTTTCATAATAAAAATATCTAACTACTATAGTTTCCTTAATCGGCCGATTTGCGCTCTCTTGCAATATAATTTCATTCTATAATAATAGTCTGGTGACTTGCAATGAACAAACTAACATATCAAATAAACTTATATATATTTATACTTAACTTATACTTAAGTCATTAACAGTGGCGTGCCGTGACATTTAAAGAAAGGGATGCAAATTAAAGGAAATTATAAAATGACTAACATTTTTACTTGTAGTGCAGCTCTATTCTTCTGTCATCCTTGGCAAACATATGAGATCCTTGACATCCTTTATGACAGACTCATAAAAACTTCGATTTTCAGACATTTCTTTTTTCAATTGATAAAATCGCTAAGTTAGCTAGCATCTTTTCACTTGTGGAATTTCTGACAAAGTTTTTAATCCGCTATAGTATAAAAAAACTTCGTTCTACAGACGCACTTGTAGCAGGTATTGTGATCACTAAGTCACATAATTTTGAAACCTCATTATATGCTTCATCCAGTTCAGTTTGTTTACGAAATAAAAAAGAGGTTAGTCTTCGTAGGTGGGTATATTTATTTAAAAACCCTTAAAAGGGCTACATCAAAAAAACAAACGTTTTCAGACTAAACAGTCCATCATCAGGTTTAAATTTTAAAATTGCTAGGTTAAAATGCCTGAGCCACCAAAATACATGTGTAAAAACCCTTTAAATTACATATAGTTATAAAAGATTATACATCTTGTTGTTAAGAAACTGTGATGTTCAGTATTAAAGTAAATATGACTTCAGGTAACATACATTGCTGAAGTGAGTTCCAGAACCGGAGAGTAAACCTCTACACACGGAGAACAGCTGGAAACTCGGAGAAAGCCGGAGAGAGTTTCCAGCTGTTCTCCGTGTGTAGAGGTTTACTCTCCGGCTATTTTGTTTATTTCAAACTTACCTAATTTCGGCCTTAAGCATTTCATATTTTTGTTGTTCTGTATTATTTCTTCTATTTTTATTTCTTATTCTTTTCTCTTATATTTTCTTTTATCATTCTGCTTATTCTTTTATTGATTTCTACATATTCTATAGATTCCCTTTTGCCTTCTTAATTCAACTTCCTTCTTTTATCCATAAGCTTCTTTGTTTCTGTTGATATATAGTTCTTCTTTTTTAGATCCTTTTTTGCTATTTCTTTTCCTGATGTAATCATCGTTGCTGTAAGTATGTTGTCTATTTTGTCTATATTCTTTATCATCACTGTCTCATTTTTGGGTAAGTTGTTCTTTTAATAGGTCTTTGTATATCTCTTTATATTGCCCTAGTATTCGAAGTGTATCTTCGAGGTGGGCGTCCGTTAATAGGGAGCTTTATTTGTTTTTCAAAAAATTCATTTTTGAGAAAGACGTTTCGCACATATACGTTAAGCCAAACATAGTAGCCAAATTGATTGCAAGTTGTCTGCAATTTTCATATTGTGCTGGCACATGTTTGATCCAAAATTCTTCGGCGGATACCGATTTATAAACGTGGATAAGGAAAGGACAAATCTTCTTGTAATTCAATAATCTCCATTTGAAGTAATGCTTCTGACAGATTAAACAGCTTAGCATCCACATCTGTACATTCTGTCGCTGCATCAACTTCAAATGGTGATTTTAGAAATGAAGATAGTTTGCATATCTGTGCAAAGTCTTGGAATCTAGAAGCAAATTCGTTCCTGCAATGTCTTCTTCGAAGTACTCCTTATTTTCATGATATTCAATAATAGTTGAAAAATGAATGAATTCTTGTTGTGCAATATCTTTTTCAAAGATATCCAGCTTACGACGAAAACCAGACACGCTTTGTATCAGATCACATAATAATTTTCCATTTCCTTGTAACTCTGTGTTAAGGGCATTCAAATATTTTAAAATAACTTTTAGAAAAGCCACAACCAGCATGTTGCGCCTGTTGGTTCATCATCATCATCAGTAGCTCGACAACCCTTACTATGTCCTGGCTTGTTCTAGGATTTTCCGCCATTCTGTTCTGTTCCTTGCTTTGTTTTTCCAGTTGGTAATCTTAAGTGTTCCACTTGTTCCATGTATCTAAGTTTGGGTCTTCCCTTTGACCTTCTTCCTACTGGTGTTTGCCTCGTAATATGTTTTCACATGACAACTGCTTACAAGCGAAGCACCAACATCTCGACAACAGAAGATGTCAACCCCTAGTGTTGGCGAAACGTCGAGAATTAATCTCAGAAGACAACAGCCTAATTGCCCGAACAAACAGTTTAACAAATTAGACGATGGCCGTGAAAGCCTAACGAGATTATTTTACATTGCAAAGCCAAATATTCCTCAAGAACAAGCTGGATTTATGCAAGGAAGAAGCTGTGGCGATTAAGTCCTCTCCTTAACAATATTTATTGAGAACGGATTTCAGAAGAAACTTAAAACAGTAGCAGATTTCATAGACTTAACGTGCGCCTACGACACAGTGTGGTAGGAGGGTCTTTTATTTAAAATATACCAGATGGTACCATGCCGTTCGTTCAACAGTCTGATAAACCAAATGCTAAGAGACAGACTTTTCCAAGTACACCTAAATGGGAAAAACAGTAAGTTCAGAAACCTGCAAAACGACTTACCACAAGGATCAGTTATGTCTTCTCTTCTTTTTAATATTTATACGTCAGTATCAACTACCACCTCGCCCCAATTTATTTAGGCCGATGACATGGTTCTGGGTGCTCAAGAGGAAGACATCAAAATCGCCGAAACCACCATAGGAGCAGATCTAAACACTGTTAACAGATACTTTAAGAAATGGGGCCTACAGCAAACTCATCGAAGACTAAAGTAACCGCTTTCCATCTTAACAACCACAAGGTAAATTACAGACTAAACATAGAATGCGATGGAACCAGTCTAAAGCACAGTGCTAAACCAAAATACCTCGGCGTAACTCTAGATCGTACCCTAACATTCAAAAAGCATTTGGAAAACACTTCAGCAAAAATAAAGACCCGCAATAACATTATTCAGAAATTAACAAATACATCATGCAGAGGTCATCAGAACGAGCGCGCTGTCCTTAGTATATCCTACTGCAGAATATTACGCTCCTGTTTGACTAAACAGTCATCACATAAACGTCATAGATACCCAGTTGAACCTAACAATGAGGCACATAACGAGAACTATAAAGCCCACACCAACCCAATGGCTTCCAGTTTTAAGTAACATCGCTCCACCAGCACCAAGACGACTATCCGCACTCAATACCCTAGTTCAAAAATGCCATCAATACCCAGCACTACTGATAAATACAGACATCGCCATCGCTGAGCTAGACCAAAGAGAGTTAAGACTGAAATCCAGACATCCACGTACTAGAACTACTATAACATTGGCGGATTTCACTACTGAGGAGCACTGGATGGGCGAATGGAATCCAGATATCAGAAATGCTAATCTCATAGAAAACCCTACAATTAAACCAGACGGCTTTTCTCTTCCTCGTCGTGAATGGTGCAACCTTAATAGAATACGAATTTGTCATGGAGTATCGATAGAGGGTGTGTTCGTAAGTTTGGATACCGGCATTGTGAAAGGAAGTTAGCAGGATTGTGGAAGAAGATTACAAGTCGATGAAAAGATATCCTTGGATCTAAAGTGGGCAGTTTCTGGAATACGTAGGAAATAGTTTGGCGGCACCAAGTTGACAGAAAGAGGTGCTTGTGTCATTGAGAAGTAGCTGAGTGTTTGGGGAATTAAATTCCAAGTGTTAATTGTTTGAGAATTGAGTCAGGTGTTTCGTACAGTCGCTGCAGGAGGATTGCAGATACGAAAAGAAGAAAGCCGATGCGAATATTGGCAGATCACATTGCTGTGGAGCGTGGACGATTCTGGGTATGGTCCAAATACAATCTACGAAGGAAAGGTCAGTGATTTTCTGTTCAGAATTGAAAATTTTGTAACTGTGAATGAATTTTTGGTGCCATCATTGTCGTTACCATTTTATCTCAAGAGTAGACTTCATTTGTAAAATGTTTTAAACTTTTGTTTTTGCAATAAAGTAAATATTGAAAAATCAGAAATATAAAAAGTTTTAAAAATATTCATTGAAATTGGCGTAAAATTGGTTTTGTCTTCAAGAAGACTTAAAATATTCTTTTTGTGTAAATTTTATTGTATTCATTTAAGCTGATTGATAAGAATCAAAATTTGAAAATTGTTTTATTCTTCTTTAATTAAAATAAAGAATACCAATTTTTTGTAACATACTATTTTTATTATTATCCTTTTTCTCTATCCCGATAAAGGACAACTAGGAAATCTTTGGTCCCACACAACATAGGT